TCACCTTGGGCCGGTTTCCCAGGCCTAGATTAAGTCGAAACCTGAACTAAATACTTTTTTAGTAGTGAAGCTCTTAAGCATAGTCTCTGTCTAGGCTTACAGGGGAATTAGATCAATTTTTCCAAACTTCCTGCACAATTCAATCATTAAGATGTTTGCAAAGAGTGGTTTGATGTAAAATGCTCCATTGTAGAGAACAGACTCTGGATTTTTTCAGTGGTGGTGATAGTAATCAGGGGTCTCAATGTCTACAACACCAACATAGCCATTTTATTTACTATCCAAAACCACCAGTGAACCTTACATGTGCCTTCTGACTTCTATATGTAGTCCTGATGATGGTCAAATAGCATTAAATCTGGAGAAAAACAACTTTCTTTGGGCACTATTTTACCTCTTCACCATAAATTTACAAAAACTTTTTCATCCAAAGGCCTCAGAAATCAGCCAGTATATTCATAACCATTTCATGCAATAATTCTGTGATGTAGCTTTTAGAGCATTAAACTCTTCAGATGTCTGGTTCCTATAACCACCACTATGAACAGTTCTAAGTATGTCAGCAAGCTTCTCTAGAACGGAGCACTTCCCATCAAACTACACTGAATGACTTTGTTTACATCTCAACAATTTCATTATGCAGAAATTAGATATTGTGTAAATTTTTGGTAAACTACTTCTTTAACACTCACTCTAATACTGACCCCAAACATGACCCCAGTCACAGTGCTGCTGAAAAATCAACTTTCTTCAGAATTTTGTAAAGAATTTAAGCATCTGATTACTGCTTGGCCAGGCTGGTGCTATCTGAGGCAAAAGTATGAATGAAAACAAACTCGATCTTACACTTACAGTTGTGTTAACAGTATCAGTCAATCACACTGAGTAAAGAAACCCAAACCTATATAACTTCATTCAAAAGTTTCCTAAAAGCCAGAAACTGATCTGAGTTTTATTGATGTGGTGCAGCACACAAGGGCATTTAATACCACACTGTCCTCAGACCGCACAGCAGATATGGACTTAGTACTGACACTCAAACTGGGACTAGGAACACTGTACTACCTGGGAACAGCGAAATGTAACGTCTTTTTTAACCCACACGGATGAAACTTGTCTTGTTTATTTAAATCCTTTTTCTCCGGTGAAGCACAGAGAAACTCTGAGCCTCTGAAACTCAGCTAGCCATCCTGCTGCTAATGTTCCCGGCTAACGTGCTAACATCCTGTGCTTTTAGGCAGCCGCTTCATTCATGTAAAGAACTGTGACAAAAATACGCCATAAAATGCACATTACACACGAACAGTCTGAGAACTTCATGACATTTCACGCTTGAACTTCACCGCTTTCCACACTCGGTCCATTTCACTCATTTCACTCACCTACAGCATGGTCACTCCGCTGATGACGCCACAGCTCTCCGTCTGGGCGCCCGGGTCCTAAAGCCCGCCGATTTTCTGACAGTTCGTCTTACCCAAAGTACAGCGATGCGCATTATTACACACCATGATAAATTAGTATTTTAAACGTCTTATTGTGTTTTTAATATTAATTCATTGCAGCCTTACTATGTAGCCCCGATTAGGTTATTTCGGCTATTAAAATATTCCAACTGTAGTTTTTAATGCAGGTAGTATTTTTGATAAGGTCATTTAGACCATCTTGGGGAAATCCTTCACACCATCTTAGGTTACATTACTATGGCTGCATCCTAAACCACATACTACCACACTAAAACAGTATGGTAGTGTATTAATTCTGGCCTACTAGTACTTTTGTCATAGTGATATAGATCAGACAATTTTTGCTAGCATGGAGTGTTCAGAAAAAAGTGCTGTGTCGGCGCTGTACTGTCCTGTTTACTGCATCTATTGTCTGTTTTATTTATTGTATTTAATGTATTGTTTATAGTTTAATGTTTTTGCACACTTATGTCTGCACGTTTGCACTTTGTCTATACTGTATTATTTTGTTCCACGTTGCACCATGGCCCTGGAGGAACGTCATTTCGCTCCAAAGCCTCTTGACTCTTTTGGATGCAGGTAGCACAAGTGAAGTTTGTGAGTCCTCTGAGGGACGATCGAGGGCCCAGGTGAAAACAAGGATCGGGAAACTGCCCAGAAGTCACTGCGCCATAACATTTTCCTTTTCAAAAATTGGCAGATAAAGCTGTTCACAAGCCATAGCAATGACATACTTTAAAATGCTCAACCTTTCAGAACTCAGCATTCAGTTTGCTGTATTCAGACTGTTATGAAGCTAAAGGCTACAGCTAGCCTCAAAAAATAAAGGCAATACATTACTTTTTTTAAACCAAAACCTAGCCAGACAAAGCAGTTGTTCAAAGCAGTTGTTCATACAAGTTTGTGTATGTTCAAACTTCTTAAAAATGCTCTGCATTACAAAGTTTGCATGGCTAGCTAATTAGCCCACTGAGGCTAACCTGGCTGAGGGTGAGTGCGTGCCAATTGAATAATCCACTCCTCGATGTCCCCTCCACCCCTGATATCCCCTGAAGAAAACAGTATAGACCAGCATGGCAGGTCATCAGCAAAACCAGCATATGTTTTTTTTTGGATGCTGGTATGTTGGTCAACCAGCTTGACCAGGCTGGGTGACCAGCTAAACCAGCAACAGCATAAACCATCTTAGACCAGCCTCTGCTGTGAGCGGTCACTACACACTTTCTAGTGCTGGTGAGGGCATATTAAAAAAGACTTGAAACAGGAGCTTACTTTAGCAAAATAAAAGCATTTTCAGATATCTCTCCTCTTATATTGTGATTTTTAATACCACAGAATTAAAGTCCAGTGTGGTTATCAACAGAATATAGATTAAAATATTAAAGATAGACAAGGTGATACATAGCAACAGTACTCCAAAAGGTATGATAAGGGGTGATGGCAGTTGTTCAAGGGGAGGTGATTTTTGGCTCTTTTTGACTGGGGTGATGGCATCCCCTTGCATAACCCTTCAAATCAAGCCCTGGCTTTAACATATGTGATTCAACTCATGAAAGACTTGGACAGCTAATAATATGACTCAGAAAGCACAAAACTGTGCAGTACTGGTGGACTAGAGGATTGTAGCTGCCTTATCTGTTCAAAGTCTTGGAATTATTAGATAATTATTTATTACCTTATAATTATTAACACTATTAGCTTATGCAGTTATATTTTAATGTGAAAACACCCTGTACATCAACCAATCTTTATTCATTAATGGCTAATATTCAACATTTACAAATAAAAATTTTCATTGCAACATTCAAAGCTATGAACTGGTTACATTTTTCATATAAACACAGTTTGTACAAAATCTGTAACACAGGCTATATGGAATACTTTCATCCCATTGTATGATATAAAGTACAACTTTACAGGTTCAAAAAATTGAACAAAAAAAACCAAACAAAACAAAACAAAAAAGATAAAACCTAATCCATACAAAAGGAGACAAAGTGAGAGAAAAAGAGAGATATTACAAGAATACTAGTTGACTTTCTAAAACTGGTCACTAGGCAATCCATTAACATTATAAAATGTGATTGCCTAAAATGAGCAACTTTCATAGCATAGGCATATGTGAACACAACTGCAACACTGTTAATAAAATAGTTCACACAAGCGACTTACTAATGGCCACCATTTACAAATTCATTAGTTCTTAAGCCCGAGTTCATCTGAGTTACTTCTACTGGGGTTCGAAGTTCAAATACTGACACGCTTTCTTTATCAAGATTTAAAACTGTGCTTATTCACAATATATTTCATAAAATTTCCATGATGTGAAACAATTTCAAACTGTGCAAAGTGAAGGCCTACATTAGCTAATTTATGATAGTGTTCTTTATGGTGCAACTTTAAATAATATTAGTATTTAGTATTTATATTCACTGAATGAATAGTTCAACAAGTTACTACTTCATCTATTTTTCTACTTACCCAGACTCAAATCAGATACCATCACTATTTAGTGTCCCAAGGCTAGAATAAAGGATTTAAAGTCAAAGTGAATATATTTGAGAGTAAAACATGGAATCAGGGTCTCTGCTTGCTGAGCGTTTGCTCTCAACAAGTAAGTCTGGTGGGGGGTTGGCATGATATTATTGGTTAATATTATTTTGCCCCGCCCGCTGGGGCACGGTGATGTCATCAAAAAATCAGAAGACGTTTTAGTCTTTACATTTTGAAGATTGACAGAAAACATGAATTTTGTCTTTTAAAAGATATGATCTGATGAATCATGTTTAATATGGCCAAGGACAGAAACTAACAAGGTAAAACAGATCAATTTTCAAGTTGTCAGCAGGATCAGCTAGCTGTGTCTACTAAAAAGCAGATTAAAAGTCTCTTTGTTAAAACGTGACAAAAATTCAAATTTAAAAAATGTAAAATCGAATGTATGTTAAACTGTTAGATGTGTTATTTTCTGGGTTTATTTCTCCTAATGGATGCAAATATCATGTCTTCTTCAATAACAATATAGTTAGTAGCGGTAGCAACTATTCATATACCACATATTCATTTTGCTAAGCTCCAAAAACTGAGGTATCAACGTACAACCCTTGGAGTAAGTAGAAAAAGCTCTATGCTAAACAATAGCAAGAATTACTTAACTCAAACCTGTGCAAAGATCTGATTTTGCAGGTCGGCAGTGAAACAGCTATTAGTTATTTCTAATTCTTTTTTTGCTGTATCATCACAGGTTATATATTTTAGAAAGAATTGCTCCCTTTCCAAACAATGCAAACTCAATTGGGGACACTTTAAAACCAGTAAATGTTAGTATATCTTTTGGTAGGAATGTCAGTTATCGTTAAATGTCTATTAGGAATGTCCTGTTTTAAGAAAAAATGACAATTAAGGAAAAAAAATAATGACCAGACACACACATTTGCTAAAAAACAAACAAAAAAAAATCTGTCTCAACAACGAATATACATTCGTTAAGAAAATCACAGTTATAAATAAAGAAGACAAAGTTACAGTATTCTTTAAATTTTGTATTTGCCATGCATGGCCCCAATCTGAGGTGTTTTTGGCAGTCAAAACTGGTTTAAATTTACAGAAACAGTTTTGTGCATGCCAACCTGAATGTACAAACCAAGACAGCTCTACCCTTAGCTTAGCATGAGGATATGCTTTCTATATTGTTTCTACCAAAAAAGCTGACTTCTCCACATTGGTCATAGAATTTGTATGACAGTTTACCTAATTCTGCTTAGAAGTGAGCAGTATACAGTATACAGCATTTGACATCTCTGAAATCGGAAAGAAGCCCATCTGAGGAGACCTCGCCTTAAACCTGGAGGGCCTTTTTGTGCTACGAACATCACACTCTTGAGGAAACTACACTGGTTATATTGCTTGATGCTGTACATGCCTCATGCTATCTTAGTCTATGCCTCGGCACACTGTATAAAAAGCACATTGTCAAGCACGAGCATTCACGCTTACGTGAGTTAAGCTTCCCTAACTACTCTCACCCACAGAAATGTTAATACTGCTTGTATCTTTGGCACAATACTTGGAGACCACACGATTTCATTACATGGCACAATTAACGGTCAGGCAGGTTCGGCAGATACAAGGCTACATTAGAAAGAAACACTAAGAAATATGTAGCACCTTTCAGCCATTCCAGAAAGTACAAAGCGGTTAAAACAAAAGTTGCAGGTCTAGCTGCACATCTTTGTCCATGTAAGGCCTAAAAACAGTGCCGTCGTGTTTGGTGAATATGTACACATATGGGATTTGTACATCTATCAAAAATACCTTGCTAGCAATATGCCTCGGAACGTTGCTCTACATGGGATGTGGACCTGCCAGATCTAAAGATTTAACTGTAAACTATATGCCCTTTTAAGATTATAATTCTAATCTCTTCATGGCTATTCTTGTACGTCGGTATCATCAGCCAAGAATGTATATTAATGGAAAATATGCCAAAATTTAAAGCCCTGAGTCAATTCAATTTCAGCTGTAATAACTGATCAAGATAAATGTACTGAATTTGAATTGAACCAGACCCAAAACAATGGCGTAAAAGGCCATCCACCAAAAGCAGTGATAATGGTTAAAAAAAAACACACACAGCAGTACATCTGCAAACATAAAAGGCCTTTTCTTTTAACACATGCCCACAAGAAGACTGCCACTACAATAGAAACAGTTATATTCCGTTTTAGGTAATAGAAAAAAATAAAACTGCATCTATAAAAAGTAATCCTGCTTTCCGTCAAATAACCCATAGTAAGAGTTTATAGGTTTCACGTGGGATTCCGCTGCTGCTTCTGTGGTGTCTGTTGCCCTTTAATTCGTTCAAAGCCTACAGCTGGGACACTTTCCTGGGGGTCAGTCTGTGTCTGGGCTCTGAGTGGATCCTCTGCGTGCGGCTGAGCTGCGGTTTGGTGGGCAGGTTCGGGTTGTCTGCGCTGGGTGGGACTGAGAGGCTGTGGGGGAGGGGTGTGGCCCGCCGCGGGTTGTTCCGTTCATAGACGCTGTAGGGGGGTGGGGTTTTGCTGCCTCGGCGGATAGGGTTATCTAGTGGAGCAGCAGGAGGCAGGGGTGGCTCAGCCGGGGGCAGCTCGATCCCGCAGGTTTCAGACACGCTGCAGCGGCTCAGCGAGGAGATCCCGCTGCTGTAGCTGCCGGAGCGGGCCGGAGAGTGGGACGCCAGGCTGCCCACAGGCAAGCAGTCAGTGGGGGATGGGGTCAGGGGAGGAGCCGTGGTCTGCAAAAGGAACGGGATGGGCATTACTGGACATGGAAAAAAGCTATGAATGCCAAAGACTATAAGGATATTTTTAAGAACTAGGCATTAATAACCAATTTTGCTGTGAATATTCAAAGTGAAAGTCACTTTTCTAAGTACTTATAAAAGTGTTGATGCAGAGCACCATCATGAATCTGCCTTATAAGTAATTACATAAGTATGTCAGTATGTAAATAAGTAAGTACATATGTAAGAAGGTAAGTATGTATAGTCACTGTCCAAAGAAAATATGTATCTCCAAAATTGTAACTTCACAGGATAAGGTAAAAACCTTCTTAATTCTGAATGTAAGTTAATGTAAAGAGATTTTATTCCAATTGACTCTATTGGTCCATGCCTCATGAAAAGTTTCATACAGTGTAAAGGACAGCTGCCATGTTTTAATGAAGTAGAAAAGAAAAAAAAAGAAAAAAGAGCCACTTCTTCATAAGCTGAAGATACCCACAAGCGGGAGCTGTTAGCCCTCAAGCTTTTATATGCCTCATTGAAAGGGAGGAAAATGGCATGAGCCCACTCCAACATCTCATGAATGCCCTTATGTTTGCTTAAACTATGAACTACATTATATGGCCAAAAGTATGTGGACACACTTCCTAATTATTGAATTCTGGTGTTTCAATCATACCTATTGCTAAAAGGTGTACACATTAAGCTCATAGCCATTCAGTCTCTATTGACAAACACAGGCATTAGAATGGGTCATACTGAGGAGCTCAGTGACTTTAAATGAGACACCGTCATGCCACCTTTGCCACAAGTCAGTTTGTGAAATTTCTTCCCTGCTGGATCTGCCCCTGTGTTGCATCACTCACTACAGAGTTCCAACCTGTCTCTGGCAGCAAAATCAGCTCAAGAGCTGTGCATCGGGAGCTTCATGAACTGGGTTTTTACAGCCGAGCAGCTGCAAAACAAGTGTAAGAAAACATGTAAATCACTGGACGCCATCACTGGGGCAGTGGAAACATGTTCTCTGGAGTCATGAATCATGCTTCATTATCCGGCAGTCTGATGAACAAATCTGAGTTTGGGGGATGCCAGGAGAATGTGGCCTACTGGAACGCATGGTGCCAACAGAGAAGTTTGGTGGAGGAGGGATAATGGGTTTGGGCTCATCAGGCTTTGGGCTCGGCTCCTTAGTTCCAGTGAATGGTAATATTAATGCTACAGCATACAAAGATATTTTAAACAATTCTCTGCTTCCAACTTTGAGGCAGCAGTTTGGGGAAGACCCTTTCCTGTTCCAGCATGACTGTGAGCTAGGCCTTCTTGTCCAACATCAGCGCCTGACCTCACAAATGCTACTTTGACTGAATGGACACAGAAGCAGTCCAAAATCTTGTGGAAAGCCTTCCCAGAACAGAGAAGGCTGTTATAGCTGCAGAGGGAGGGCAAGTCTTTTTATAAATATATTAATGCCCATGGTTTTAGGATGGTATGTCCAACAAGCTCATGTAGGTGTGACGGTCAGGTGTCCACACACTTTAGGTCATATAGTGTATGCGTATATGAGGTAAAAGATCCAAAAGCATATTCAAATTCATATTCAAACACAGTATGTATGCAAACACAGGGTGCATTCAAAGCTACTGCCATTGCAGTACAACAACTGTTTACTGATATAGGATATTTCAGCTAGGCTGTGGAGACGACTCAGGGCAAAAAGCAGTAAGAGTAACGCATCAGTCAGACAGCGTGTCCTTGTTTTATGGTGAATAGGCTATAGGAACGTGTTAAAAATGTGTTTTGCGGCATCTCTAAGAGAAGAACAGAGCTCAGTACGAGACAGATGCCTACCTTTTGAGGAGATCTTACAGTTGGCATGGGAGACAGAGACCTTATGTTCTTGCCTAGAGGTGTTGTTCACACACAAAAACACAAATGCGCATCACATGTCGGATAGTACATGTATAATATGATGTGTTGGGAAGTAACAGTAAACAGCCGTACCTGTCTCTGTGCTGGGGAGATTGGCCTCAGGTCGTGGCAGACTAGTGTCGATCTGGAATGGCATCATCCTCTGCAAGTGAGAAACAGAAACAGATCGCATCACATATCACAAACCTCACTAATTCCCAAGTGAATTCTACTGCATGCGGCTCACCTGCGTAGGGTCCAGTGGGCTGGGAAACATGCCACTGCACAGTCTGTCTCTGGGGGACAGGCACGCATTCTCTCTGCTGTGCTTATGTTTGTCTGATGGCAGCGGAGACGACGACGGAAGAGAATCTGAGGTTAAGATGGGGGTCAGTATTAAAAAAGCAGGCAAAAAAGACCAAGTAACAAACATTATCTCATTCATTAATCACACAGCATTCTCTGGATATATTCTGCGATGACTGCAGTATTTATTACTGTTTATTACTGTTTAACAGTATTTACTGCAGCATAACATAACAAAGCTGAACTACATGCATGAAGGAACTTGACATCTTATTTAAACATTTAGATAATACACAAGATTTGATATCACTTTACTGAAGGTCAGTGTTCATAAGACTACACGGCATCGGTGTATGCCTGTCATGTCAACTGACATAGACCTACATAGACATTAGAAACAGACATATGTATAAAGGCTTATTCCAACAAGCATCAGTTCTCATAACACTTTATAAGGTGAAACAACATAAAAATTGATAAAAGCAGCCATTATGACAACCAACACTTGCTGAATTAATGTTTATTCATGTTTATGTAGGTGTACATTAAAAAGATGGTTCTTCAAGGGTTCTTCAGTAAAAAACGGTTCTATATAGAACCCTGAACACTCTAAGAACCCTCTGCATGAATAAGCGTTCTTTGCATCATGAAAGCGTCCTTCAGATTGATGGGGAATGTGTTGTAGATGGTTCTATATAGACAGCCTTTTTGAAAAGGGTTCTATATAACACCAAAAAGGGTTCCACTATTGTTACAAGCCAAAGAAGCCTACAAACTTAGCAAAAAGAACCCTTTTTGCTAAGGGTGTAGGTGTTATGCGGCCTTACGAATGCAGCCCTTCTGTAAAGTGTTGCCTGAGATTTTATATCGACTTTTCTACCTAATTTTTTCAAACTGCAGTCCCACAGTAAAAATACTTAAAAACTTTATTGAAATAAATGCTGTCCCGTGTTTTCATGTCACTACCAGAACAGCTTAAGTCCACAGGCGGAGCCTTATTTTAGCCACGCCCCTGCATTTTAGAGTAGGAAGTGAGACTGCATCCCTGTCCCTCATGGCCACATGGTGAGCAGTTAGATCCCATTGTTATGAAGTAAATGTGTCCCAAAGTCTGGAAGCCATTCTGGATTATTAAGATTATTAAGGATTATTATTATTATTAAGAATTGTTACCACTGAAAGATATTTTCTGCAATTCTGTTTTAACAAAAATATTATGACTTTATGTTTGCACAACTGTTCAAAGCAGTTTTTTCTAGTCATATACTGGCTAGCGTTTTTGAGTTTTGCTCAAAATTAGCTAAAATTGTCACTACCAAAAGAGTCACTACCAAAACCTTTGCTAAAGTTTCAGTGAAAATGGAATGTTCACCCATTTGTTTTAATAAAATAAGCATAATTAAGTTATGGGGTCACTCAAAGAAAAGGATTTTGGTCAATTAAAAGTTAAAAATGTGTTTTTAACTCTGACTTTGAACCAATTTGGTAGAATAACCCATATACTATATATTTGGACTGTCAACATGAACATGTTCATATTATGATGAACAATTAATGACACACACTTTGTAATGCTGATAAATGCAATTTCCTAATTTGACCTTCTGAACCATCTGCAGTAGTGCAGGTAGAAGCTCAGCTGGCTGAGGCTGAATGTTGCTATGAATCTGTGATCTATGACTGCAGTCCTTTCATTCAAATGGCTTTTAAAGCGATACCTTCAGCACCTTTGGCAGACTGAAGTACAGTCTATATACAGTAAACTGTTTGGTTAAGGTGATCAAGATCTTTTTATTTATTTATTTTTATTCTTATTGGCCAATTAATGATATCTGACATGGCACTGAAGTAAACAATGCAAAATATCTGCAAAAAGCCTAATATTCATGTGGTGCTACAATACAAAACTATAGCAGGTGTTTTGAGAGAATAAAAGTAGGACTACTTCATACTGAAGCTAAAGGAGAGCACTTTTTAGGAGCTGCCCACCCACATGCACTCACCTCTATTGCTTGAGGGCGCTGAGCTGGTCACATTGTGAGAACCGGAGTGGTTGGAGCTGAGGCTTGAGGTAGATGGACTCGGCTGCGGAGAGAAAGGCAGGTAACGAGGAGGCCAACATGACGAGAATGACAAGACCAGCCTAATCAATAAACCCCTCAGAGATAATCACTGTTTATGCTGCTATCCTATAAGTTATGTTGAGAAAGTCCGAGAAGCTGAATTTAAAATTGTAGATGTGTTTGACAGATTAGAAGCATAACTACAGCACCACAAACCTGCATGTTAAAGACTTCATCCGAGCTCTCTGATTGGCCCGTGATGTTGCTGACGTCGTTGGAGGCTTGTGATGACAGCGAGGACGAGGAATAGCGGTTGACAGCTGGGTAACTGAGGGGGCTAACACAACAGAAAGACACACGCAACAACTTATTCACCAACGGAATGAGATAATTTCACTAAATTATTATGAGTAAAACAAGCCTAAATACAGGTTGAATAATATTTTAATACTCAACTCACTCTCTCTTTGACAGCATTTATAATAGATCATATCAGTATTTGACATCAAACAATTGGAAAATGCAAACAAACAGAAAAGTTGGAAGTGCAGACTCAAACCTGACAACACAGAATGTAAGTAAATGTATAGAATAGTATCCTCATGTAATTAACTATGCAATTATTATGGCAGCCAAATGATTCAAATAATTGACTGTGATAAATTGCATCATATTGTGTTTAATTAATAATAATTAATAATCATGGTTAATCACACTTATTTGATCTAACTTGACCCTAAGGGAAGATTTTTCCATTGTAAAGGCTATTTTGTTATTAGTAGACAAAATAAGTTTCATGCGTTTATTACTTCCAATAATTCAATAACATTATTTTCAAATGCATTTTCGAATTTACATGATCTTGAACATAAAAAAGAAATGTGTATTTTCCACCTTTCCTAACTGACGTCCAGTGAGAGCAACAGTGGCTGCATGTTCCAATCAATGAGAGTATATATTGTATTATTGGTTAAAACATGCAGCCACTGTTGCTCTCACTGGATATCTCCTCCATGCCTGTAGTTTCTCACTCTCGTTCATACAGTTTCTGAATTAGTGTCACAGTGGAGGCTCTTGAGGGAGAACCTGATATATTCGTAGGTCTCCAGCAAGCACTGTTCAGTGTAGTCTACCAAAGGCACTGAATGTATCACTTCATACATAAGCTGCAGTGTTAATCACAGACCTGCGTCTCGCCACTATTCGGCCTCCTTCAGGACTGATCGCGTTTGGGACGGGGGTCCTGCAGGTGCGAGGACTGCCATTGGCAAAATGCAGTGGACTGACACGCACATATGCAGGAAACTCCTGCGGCTGGAATGAGAAAAAATAGATATTACAGATTCAAAGTACAGTGGTGTGCTGGTTGAAAGCAACAACTTTATAAAGATCCTGTATCTTATCAATTATCGTATACGCTCACTTTATTTGACTGTCTAACTCCTTTGGGACTGTAAATGTAAATTGTCTGTAATTATATCCCTATAATGTGGATCTTTAAGGTAGGTATTTCTAATGAAGTGGACACTGGTGTGAAAGTACAAGAAAGAGGTTTCCACTAAAGTGAATGGAAAGTGTATATGAGCATAATCAATGTCCCAAGTCATTGGACTGACCTGTATGCCCAGACTGGATCGCATCACATGAAACTGGTCAACAAGCTTTTTGTGCAGTGGACGCATATCCTGTGGCACAAACTTCTCGTGCACAGCCAAGCCGTACTCCAGAATATGTGCCTGCAGTATAAAGAGGACACAGGTTTTTATCTCTAAAACTGACAAAATCAAATCAAATGCACACCTGGCTGAGCACCTTTCTGTATAGAAAAGGTTTTGTGCAGCAAACATTACCTGCTCAAACATGAGCTCACGGAGACGTGTGATCTTATCTCCATCCTCAGGGTGACTGGAAATGTAATCTTTCGCAAAGAAAGCCTGCAACAAAATATACCCAGAAATGAAAGTCTGCAAAGACACTTGAAGGAAGGATGCAATGAAAAATCTAATGTACATAATTTCCACTTACACCAGAGGTAATCAGCCAGCCAAGACATGTTCCGAATGTGTGTCCGAATTTTGCTTATTTAGTTTAGCGCTGTAATGCTAACGATGCTAACAAATGCTAGAAGTCAATAGTCATCCAAATCTCTTCCGTGAATACATCCCCTAACCAGCTCAAACGCCATTGAGGTCTTCATTAAGGTCATGCAGACTTGTGGATGTGATTTAGGAGACAGTATGACTTACTGTGAGCTATAAAAATGACAAAACATTACCCTGTAGCTGAACGCTGCAGGCAGCCATTTTGACTCCTTTTTACATTCAAGTGCATCACAGACATATAAAGTCTAGATTACTTTTGTGATTTCTGTTGTTTCTATTTATGAATGTTCATCTTCAGTGCAAAAAATGTAAGCTTAAAGTTATTTATGAATAGAAACAACAGAAATCGTGAATGTAATCTGTGGTGTCCATATGCCTGCGTGATGGGAGGTTTCATTCATTTTTGTAGTTCACTGTAAGTCATTCTGCGCTGTCAACCACATTGGCATGTCTGCACAACCTTACTGTAAAGCTGGATGTAGTTTGTAAGAAGGTGTGAAGATGTATTTACAGAAAAGTGACTTTTGACTTCCAGTGTCTGTTGGCAATGATCAGCTCGTACGTCTAGTTTTAAACTAGAAATCAGAGTCTGCGAAGTCTGTAATCTTTCATAAAGAAAGCCTGCAACAAAATATACTCAGAAATGAAAGTCTGCAAAGATACCTGAAGGAATGGTTCAGCGAAAAATCAAATGTACATAATTTCCCACTTACACTACATGTAATCAGCCAGCCAAGACATGTTTGGTGTCCAAATTTTGCTTATTTAGTTTAGCACTGGAATGCTAATGAAGCTAACAAATGCTAGAAGTCAATAGTCACCCACGTCTCTTCCATGAATACATCCCCCAACCAGCTCAAACGCCATTCAGGTCTTCATTAAGGTAGTGCAGACATGTGAATGTGATTTAGGAGACAGTATGACTTACTATGAGCTATAAAATGACTAAAACTTGACCCTGTAGCAGAATGCTGTAGGCAGCCATTTTAGACAACAGGTGTTGAAACAAAATGGTGGTTGGTATAGTGTAGTGGGCAACACCTCTGCCCTCTACTCTACAGACTGGGGTTCAATCCCCCCACCTGGGCAAGCCCTCTACATTATACCAATAAGAGTCCTTGGGCAAGACTCCTAACACTACCTTTGCTTACCTGTGTGAAATGATCAAATTGTAAGTCGTTCTGGATGAGAGTGTCTGCCAGATACTGTAAATGTGTTGTGCTGAATTCTGCCTCCCAAACAAAATCTGACTCCTTTTCACATTCAAGCGCATCACAGACATATGAAGTCTAGATTACTTTTGTGATTTCTGTTGTTTCTGTTTATGAACATTCATCATTAAGATTAAACTGTTATTTATGAAATCGTGAATGTAATCTGTGGTGTCCATATGCCTGGGTGAAGGGGAACTTCATTCATTTTTGCAGTTCACTGTAAGTCATACTGCGCTGTCAACCACATTGACAAGTCTGTACAACCTTACTGTAAAGCTGGATGTGGTTTGTGAGAAGTTGTAGAGATGTATTAACAGAAAAGATTTGGGTGACTATTGACTTCTAGTGTCTGTTGGCAATGATCAGCTCGTAGCTCTGGTTTTAAAAAAAAAGCAAACATCTCTGGGCAGAAAACTGTGTAAATTTGAGTTTTCAAATCATTCTTTTAAAATAACTTTTCTGTGTCTAATGGAAACGGTGTTATGAATGAACGAGTGACAGAAAGTCTGTACAGAGACTATATTCATTGTAACATTGCTTTAGTAAAAATAAAGCTAATAACGCTGTTGATGCAGCGTTAATAGCATCTCAGCTCAACAACTATCAGCAGATCTGTAACTCTCTGCACTTTTGCAGTGCATGCTGGGCTTTTGGAGGATCCCTGCCGATAGCTCTTCCCTTTTAATTGCCTCTGTGGCACAAGCCCATAAAAAGCCTAACATGCAGTTGCCTGGCAACTGTCTAATACTCCTATAGAGTGAGAGGGTAAAGTATAGTCATTAAATATCCACTGCATGCTTTCTACAGGCTTTGCCTACAAGCAGCAAATACAGTCCGCTCTTTCATCCATTTAGGCGGTGGAGAGCTTCACCAGCAAGAGAGATAAAACGCTGTTTTGTGTCAAATAGGTGCAAAATATGTAATATAACCTGAACATGTTAACATGACTTTGAACTCTAACGGTGGTTTCTTGATAGTCGGTAGTATAATGGTAGTATGATCCAATGTCTGATTATGATTCAATGTCTGGGTGAAGTCTAATTTTACATCAGAGAAACAGTGGGCTAGACAAAGGGCTGCAGAGCAGTTCTGAACTACTGGTTTAACATGTAATGCAGGTGCTACAATAAAAAAAATTCTTGTTTACTGAGTCTGTAATTTATGAAAATGCATTAATGCATCTATCTGAAGTTCTTCTTCCTCTTCTCTTTTTAATAATCATAATACTCTTACTACTCCTACTACCACTACTACCAATAATTATAATCACATATTATGCCATTTTTTTTTAAATAGTCTTTTTTCAAATGTCAACAAAAAAGTTAAATTGTACTGTCTGTCTTTTGTGTAAATACTTTTATATTTACACTTAATTTTGTATTCATTGTATTTTTAAAGAAGAACAGTCATGTTTGGATATGTTTTAATCCCAGAAGCTGCTCTGTCAAGCCAGACGTTTGAAAAAATGCTGTTGTAACCACCAAAGCCATTTCAGAGAAACGGCTTATGGTCTCATCTGTATCAAAAAGGAAGACAGGACTCCCAAAAAATCAAGGTGGTGGCATGATGTGCACACTTATACACAACGCTTTCAAACTCACACTCACTCACACACAACAGAAACGGTGTATCTACAACCATCTACTAACAAGTTTCCTTCAAATTCACAACAGAAAACTATCAACCAGCAATACAGAACTAGCCACATTAGTTATTAAACGAAACTTTGAATTTTTTACAGATTTAAAATTTTGCATACGGCAGAGTCTAGTGATTTGTTTACATTTTCAAAGTTGATTCTGAAGTGGCCATAAAACCATATAATTTTTGACTAAAGTTGACATTGGAAGCACTAGACGAGAGACTACTGCAGCTGTGGTATGAGGAGGAAATGAAGTCTATGAAGGCAGCTTACAAACGCAAATAGTATATTTCAGAGAACTTTGCTCAGAGCTGAGACATACATTCTCTGATATTGGAAGGCAAGCACTCTTTCTCTTGTTAAAGTGTGTTAGCTTAGAATCTTCCTTGATATCTTCTGGCTTTAAGTGTTTTGAACGCCCGCAAATAATACCTTTCAACTTAGATGAGCAGCAACTACCTCTTACTTACCTTCTTCCTGCACATGATTGATGTCCAAAGAAAAACAAGTATCTACAAAACTTTATAGGAGAGGGCAAAAACACTCATAACTTTTACTGTAAGTTGACGTAAAGACTTTTTATTCCAAGCAATTTTGGAGCATTTCTCCAAAATTTGGTCCATTCATTATGAAATGTTCTGACGTGAAGGTCAGCTACTGTGTTCACAGTAAAAATCAACAAAAATGGAGAATGGAGATGACTGACTTAGAGTAAAAACATTAATTTCACAGTAAACGGTGACAGACACCCAGTAGACGAGCGGGGTGTGGCCATGGCTGTGCAGTATCAATATAGCCAAGCCCTCACCAACTGAAATGGAGCAAATAAACCCTGGGAGTTGTAGAAATCATGTTTTATAAGCTCTGGGGAGTTTATATTATCAGTTCAATATCTCTGCAAGTATTCCGCAAAATATTATACATTTTGTTCTGAGCATTTTTAGATGACTGAAAGACGATTTGACAGCATGATCTGCCCCCTTTAATTCTGACTTGTACCGAAACAATCAAATCACTGGGAGATTTCATGGTGTGTTTAATCATTTCCGAAAGAGTTGTAATCAAATCATTTTGAGGTCACAAACTTACACCCCTCGCTTATATTGTAAAGTCTAGTGGAAGTTTTGTACATCATTTAAAATGTGTACTTCTCTTCGTTCTCCAATTAATAGGTAAGCAAATGGTCCATATCTATGGTACCTCCTGGTAGCGAGCAAGTCCTCCGTTCACTGCGGCGTCGATGACTCCATTCAGGCACATGGTGAGTGGGTTGATGTTCTGCATCTGCCGCATCTGGCACTGAGCGATCAGGGTGCGCAGCTGCAGAGTCTTATTTTCTATCACCTCACTGGCGTTCTCCAGAGGACTCATCTCCACCTGCAGAGCATACACAGATCACCTACAGACCACACTGCTTACACACACATTTATTAATAACAAACAGATTGTGTAGGACATTACTGTGGATTCAGTGCTGAAGTAAGCAAGAGTTTTGTGAATAGCCAGCATAGAAGTGCTCAGAAATACTGTAAGGAAGACTGAAGGAAGGCTCTATGCACACAGATTAAGCCTGGGTTTGGTCTGTTGTATCGTTAATAGAAATGTTTCAGTGATGATTGAGGCCTGTAAACCCTTAAATGGATACCTTGAGCTGCTGGTAACATGTCCTCCTCAACTTTTTTGTTTTGAGCAGTTTACTAATAATGAAAAGCCCGACAAACTATTTTGTTCTACTTGTAAAACTAATACGATCTCCAGTGACCATAGACATGTAATACTGCAATAATGTATATTTGCATCCCCATAAATTATACTGGTATGAAAGTTTTGTAGGGTGGTTGATGGAACAAAACATTTAATCTCCAAAATGGTAACTTTACGGAAAAACGAAAAATGTTCCTTATTCTTACTTTTTAAATTTTTTATTACTTTTTAAAGTAAATTTTTCAAAAATTTTGGACCAGTTCTATTGACCCATTTGTCAGTTTTATAAGGGGCAGCTGGCATTTGCAAAATCATGCAAAAAAAAATCATTTAAAAACTTTATTCTGACGTTCATTATTACAGCAAATCTACTGCTTTGTTTATCACCTTTGTAGTTTGCACACATGAACAAAACATCACGTTAAATGTTTGCTTATGTGGTTTCTGACACGGCATCACATACTGCTATTGATAGAAATGCACAAAAGTAAGTTGCATTAGAGTTTTTAGATGCAAAGCACCTCCTGAACTGGCTTTTAACTCAGTCACTCACATTTAGCAGGCTAAAAATTCCCCATAAGGGAGTGCCAAATAGCTTTTAATGCTTCATAAGAGCAGTGCTTTGCATGTACACTGTTTGTCCTTACATAGCAAGTGCATGATGGCATGTACATGATGCGAAATGGTTGCACATATTGTGTGATTTGTAGTATAATTTACCACATAAAGACTCAAGGTATGTATGAAACATCCATTCATTTAACCCCTAAAATGGGCAGGGCCCATTAGTGGGCCCAAAGTTTTATTACACACTTATATAACTTAAGAATAGCTCAGCCAGTTTGCACTGAAGTCCCTGTAGTTGCTGAATTATAAGCCTTAGTATGTAATCAGCCTGGGATTTTAAGGGGTTTAGCATTAATCTGTGCCAGAAAGCAAGTTCTGAGTGTCCAAATGATTCTCTCTCTAGAGTCTCACAATGACACGTATTATATATTTCTGATGTTCTGATTTATTTCCAAAACTGTGGATGATCTGCAGAAAAGTCAGAGGTTAGGAGATGTTTGTCTCTCACCAGCTCCCGTTTCTCCACCTCGAACCAGCGAGAGATTCCTGGGAGACTCTGAGCCAAGCTCAGTGTAGTCCTCTCCACCCACAGACTCTGCACACATAGACACAAAAACAATCTCAGTATCCTCAAAACGCAGCATCATCATCCCACAGACAGCAAAACCTTTAACTAACTCAACGAGCAAACATCCACTTCAGCGTGTGCCTGCAACATTTCAGCTAAAACTGAGTTGACAGTACAAGGCCTTGTCCTGCTGTGTGCTCAGAGGCTGCGAGGTGTGCGGGCAGTCTCAGAAGGGACGGGGGGGTGGGAGTGCTGAGGCTGACTCCTCAGCATTTGCGTTTGGTCTGAGGCTGACGGAGCATGTGTGGATGAGACGGATCAGAAGAAAACCCCCACGCTGTTTAATTAGCAGAAGAAGAGTGAAGCGGAGAGTGGAGCCTGAAGCACACCTGAGTGCACCAACTCAAATCGGACAGACTGAAAGACTGAGAAGAGGGACAGAAATGTACTACATTTACAGACATTTTCCTGATGAAGGTTCTTGGAGACTACTGATTATAAATAGTTTATTACTAAAAGGACACTCCACTCAATGTGAAAAATGCAACCAAACATGCTTACTTGCATCCTACAGTGGTGCTGCAGTAATGTCTAGAGTGTGATTTTCTGTTATAAAGAATAGGAAGACCCCCTTCTGACAGTATCCTGAAGGTGGGAGGAACTTTCGAAAAACTACAAGAGCTTTGGGTTGGATTTTTGGGGGCGGGCTGCTTGAAATGCTAGCTATCTAGTGTTACTGCTAGGATGAATGTCTTATCGCAGATGTAAAACTGTAGTAAAGGTCTTCAACTTATCACTGCGATGGAAAGAATATTTTCCTTTAGAATTTGCTGGTGCAATTCAGTTCATTGTTCTATCAATGATGGCCAGCTTGCCTGGCTCGGTGAGCAGGAAAACAGGCCCAAACCATAGTACTACCACCACCATGTTTCACAAATGGGATAAGGTTTTCATGCTGGAATGCAGTGTTTTCCTTTCTCTAAACATAACGCTTCTCATTTACACAAAAGAGATCTATTTTGGTCTCATCTGTCCACAAAATGTTGTTCCAATAGCCTTCTGGCTTGTCCATGTGATCTTTAGCAAACTGCAGACAACAGTTTCACTTTCGCACACTTATTGATTGCTCATGCATACAGCTTCTAGCTTCTACATGAGGGAAGCTGCATGACAAAAGCATGTATAGCTAAAATGGTAGTAGTGCCACGCTTCCCACTGATGACACGTCTTGTGGCACTCCTTGCTCTCTCACTGGCAGGCTCTATTGAATCAACTTCATCTCCCAGGAATCCATGGGAGATCACATGACGCCCACTCCATTATTCTGCACCACCTGAATACTGACTGCTTTCACCTGTTGCTCGTATCTGTTCCATTATATATGCTGGTCTGTTTCCCTCATTCATTGTAAAGTATTGCCCCTGTTTATCAGTGCATAGCGAGCGTTCTACCTTTGTCTGATATCTCTGTGTTTTGACTTGCTTTGTTTACTCGACCTTGTCTTTGGCTTTTCCCTTTTGGTTTTGTTTGCTGGTTTTTGGATTTACTGTTTTGGCTTTTGACCCAGACCTGTTTTTGGCTACTCCTTTGCTTCTCTGCATGCATTGTTTACTCTCTTTCTCGGTTTTGACCTTGCCCTGTTTTTGAGCTGCGTTGCTGGAAAACCCTGCTGTTATTGAAGTCAACTCCTTCATTTTTATCCACTAGTGTCTGGCTTAGAGCTTGGAGCATTACAAGCAGCAGCAGCGCACTTGAAGCCTTTGTGTATTAGGAAAACTGTTTAAATTAAATATGTCACTGAATTATGGTTTTAAGCTTACTGTCATGAAGGTTAAGTATTACAGTAAAAGCCACAACTCCACTACAGTGTATGGATGTTTGTTATATAAGCCCACCTTGAACTCGTTCTCTTTGTCCTTGGTGCCCTTGTGGAAGGGTCTGTCGTAGCGGAACCTCCAGATGTGATTAACTTTGTAGAAGCTTTTAATATTGTTAGGCACACCGTCCCTCTGCAGGACATCCTGGTTGTCAGGGACAGGACTGACCGCGTAGATCTGCAGGTCTGAGCCGCACCAGTTAAGGAGTGCTCAGTGATTCGGTCAACAAATAATAATAATGGAAACATTTCCATAGTAGATTAAAATGGGACTTTACACACACGTACACATTTGTCTCAGTATCATGACTCTATGAAATGATGTGTAGACAGACGGCATCCACACTAAAGCCTGTGCATGGAAGAGTTTAGCTAAGATTTTTCATCGTAGAAGGTTCTCATTCCCAGAAACAGGTCAAACAAGATTATGACACACCTGTGTCCACATTTAAAATTAATAACATCCTTCTGAAGTCTTCTAAAGGTCTAGCTGAGATGCTGATCTGATTATGAACTGTGCTGCTGGCACCATCACAGCACTTTCCCTCAATCAAACAGACCTTGAAGCTCCATATATGCTCATACTTGAAGCTTCAAATATGCTATGACCTTCTAACTACTGAAAATGTATTCAAAAAATAATTAGAAACATAAAAATAAGCAAAATCTTCACTTACATGTTTGCCATAAGCATTTAAGCTCAGACCTTAAGATCAAAATGCCTTTACAATTATAGAAAACTGTCCAAATGTTTGGCTATATACACAAATATATACATATATATGTCATTTAGAGCCTTAAAAACTAGCAGCACTTAAAATCTATCCTGAACGATTCAGGTAGTCCGTGCAGTTCTTTTAAAACAGGAGTGATCTTATCTCTCTGTTTTGTTTTTGTTAGGATGCTGCTGCGTTTGGTACATGTTGTAAAAGATGTATTGTTTTCTTAGGAAGTCCAGTAAGAAGAGCATTACAGTAATTAACTCTGCTTGTATCAAATGTATGACGTTTCTCTGAGATCTCTGCATCACTCTGAGATAGAAAAAGGCAGAACTTTAGCGATATTTCTTAACTGATAAAAAGCTACTTTAGTGACTGCGTTTATATGCAGGATAAAACAGCTCGGAGTCTAAGTTTTTTAAGCCTGTCAACAGAGTCTTGATATTCATAAGGAATGGAAATGTGTAATTACATGTCATCAGCATAGCTATCAAACTGTTTCCCAGTTACATCATCCAGAAGTAACATATACAAAGAGAAAAGCAAAGGCCCTAAAACTGAACCTTGTGGGACTCCACAAGAAATGTTACATTTTTTTTAATAAACAAGATCTCAGTGAAATAAAGAACTGTCTATTTATTGAACATGAATATCTAAAACTGTGCCTGAGAGGCCTACCTAGTATTCAAGGTGGTGGATTAGAATCTTGTGATCAACGGTAATAAAACTAAATAATCCAAAAAAATAATAGTATTAAATATTTTATTTACTATTTTTTGCTTGTTTGTTTGTTTTTTATGTGAATCAAATATAAATTAACATCTGCAGAAAAAAAAGTTTTTTGAAATAATGAGGTTTTTTTTTTTCACTTCTTTTCACTTCAAGAATCAACAAAATATGTCACTTGGCCAGGGGTGCCCAAACTTCTGCACATAACTGAATGTCTGTATTTACTAAAAGAGAGCTTGAGTGTGTCTACTGTATGTGTGTGTGTGTGTGTGTGTGTGTGTGTGTTTTTGTAGAGGATACACTGCGCCTCGGCCTGCAGTATGGTCTGATCCGGCTGGTTGGCGTGCTGCATGGCGATGGCATGAGGGAACTCACTCAGCATCCTCTGCTGAAACGCCTCCAGCCGCTCGTAATCATTCCCCCGACACACAAACTCCTTATTCTGCACAACAAACACACACACCAATAAACATAACTGAAACTGAGAGGCCTGGTTAGCGTCTGAAGCTTAAGGGATCACTAATTCATGCTCCAGTAGAGGAACGCTGCTTGGTGCACTGCACCACCTAGAGGGCTAAACATGAACAAGAAGATGGGGCCATAGTAGGATTTCATGTGCACACACTGGGAAACACATGAACAATAAACTTTCAGGCATTTCTATACAAATTAGATCACCATCAACCCAAAAAGCTGTGTATATCACACTTTATAGCAGTTAACATTCCTTGTTGCTGTTGTTAGTACTTACCCGTAAGAAGAAGGGGAACTTTTTGCCGTAGAAGCCAATCCGAAAGAACTCCGGCTCGAGCCTCTGCTGGTTCATTATCTTATCATAGAGAGACGCCTCCATCAGCTGGAGAGCACACAAATAAAACGCTCCATTAAACCCAATGCAACAGCAAAAGGAAACAGCTCTATAGACGACAAATATCTGCTGCTGTCTGTGGTGGTCTGTCGCAATCTGCTGTACAAGATTGAGCCTAAACATCACAATCCAGCAGATTCAAATGTAAATGAATGAAAACACCATGACTCATTAAAGCTGTGATGTATTCTGAAAGCTTAGATTTTTTATTTTAGACAACTAACTGCAGAGCTACCTGCAGGATTTGCTAAGCAAGGACAACAGAGGAGAAGAATATATGAGCAAACAACACTGAATCTTATTATGGCTTGTTTTGGAAGAACAATTCATAACATGAATAAGCAGAGAAAGGAAAAAGACAGCCAGGGAGGGAGGTAGGGAGGGAGGTGGGGGGGGGAGAGAGAGAGAGAGAGAGAGAGAGGTTGGTATAAAGTCTTTAAATGGGTGTCCGCGCCCCTCTGACTGCTGCAATAATCCTATTAAAGCTTCAAAGAAAACTGCAAAATGGAACACTTTCATATCATATATGCACAATAACACATTTGAAAATCCAACAGGCCAAAGCGGCTGCAGTGCACTCTAGGAAAAGTGAAGCGAAGTGTAGAAGACTCACTCTCATTTTACTGAGGTTCCTGTAGTCGTAGTAAGCCTCGTACTGATTAGCCAACTCTCGGCACAGTATGATACAGTTCTCCCAGCACTGCAATTCAGAACAGTTTATCAGCCATGCTGTAATAGTCAGAGCAGTGAGACCACAATCTACACCACAACAGTGGTAACAACAGTGTAAATATAAACTTTATTTTATGTGAATAAAGTTTATGTGAAGGATAGAGTTCATATTTTTTTATCTTTAGCATTATATGTACTGTCTACATAGTAACATGTAACAAACTGCAATCTTGTAACTGTGTTAAGTAATTAACAAGGTTGATAACGTTTTTTGTTAATTCTCTTCTTTTCCTGAGTGCCTTGCTATCATTTTGCTGCGGTAGCACTATGAATTTTGCCAGTGGGACTAATAAAGGATTATCTTATGTCAAAAACATATGAGGGTGTGGTGTGCGCCCGTATCCCGGGCCCCGATGGCAGCCGCAAGAGCCGGCAGGAAGGCGGGGCCCAAGCTCCGAGCAGGGACGAAGCCCGGTGAGGATGGTGGGGAGAGAACAAGGAGTGAGTGGGGGACCGCGCACGAGTCCCGCCTCCTTGGCGCAGCCTCCGGTCCTGCAGTGAGGCTACTTTAATTTGCCTCACGTTTGATCCAGGTGGATGAGCTGCGGAGCAGGGGCGGTGACGAGGAGGCCGAGCAACAAGCTCTCAGAGGGAACAGAGGGGGTGAGGGACTAGCAGCAGTAGAGGACTGAAGAGCTGAAAAGCTTAGTTTGAAAAGGACTGAAAAGTCTAGCTAGAAACCACTGAAAAGTGGACAGCTTAGGTTTTGGTTGTTTGGTTCGGTTGTTTTGTGTTTGTTTTGTTTGAAAATAAAGAATATGGCTGCTGCGACCCTGAACCCTGCCTCCAGCGTCCTTCCTGAACCCGGGGTAGCGCATGACGTGCTACAGACGGTTAGGATTAGGTTTTGGGTTGAGGATAAGGTTAGGGTCAGGATTAGGTCCAGGGTTTCAGGTTTTGGTTAAGGTTGGGTAACGTAAGGTTTTCGCGTAATGGAAGTAACATATTAACAACACATCTACTTAATGTAAGTAATGTATCAACAAAACATCTACAAGGTATTTACTTCAATGTATTCAGATGATTCACTACTGCTACTTCACTGATATGTTATTGATGTGTTACTGATAATCCGTTAAGAGTTTATTAATCAACTACAAAGGACCACTCCAAATAAAGTGTTACCAGTGAATCTGCACAAAAAGATGGCAGTTAGATCATTCATGTGGAGCCTTTGTGTCAAAAAAGTCTGAGCTGCTGGAGGGAAAAAGGTAAAGTGGAGGATTGGACTGAAAGTGTTGTTACTGATACCAAAATTGATTTTGATGAGATAAAAGTGCTGCTAACTGATGATATCGGCTGAAATAATCTGATAATCTGAACAACTTTACTGACTGATATGATCATCAGGTGTCAAATATGATTGTCAGTTCTCAACTGTCAAATTCAGAACAACAGCACAAACTAAACCTTAACTAATACAAACAATGCAGGATCTAAGGTGGCATTCCCCAGCATTCTTAGTGGTTTATTTTCATATTCATCAGTTCTCTTTAAATAAATATTTACATAACATACTTTAATGATGAAGCTGACATTTAAATTAACTTTTACTTGTTTTTGTTGTTTTAATCATGATAGTGTTTCGAGTTCAGCCTGTATTGCTAAAATGCTAAAAAAAGGTAAGCAAAAATAATATTGTGCCCTGTAGAGGATGTGGAGGCAGAGAGAAGGTGAAAGAGAATGAGAAAATAAATCAGAGCGAGTGAGAGAGAAAGAGAGAGAGTGAGAGAGAGTGAGAACTGAGATTGAACTGACTTTGCCTCTGTCGAAGTTGTGGATGATGGTGAGATGCAGACACTCTTTCCTCTGCCACTCGCTCTGCATGGGGTAGGTCAGAAACTCCCTCAGTGGACGCTCCGTCCACTCCAGCAGCTCATCATACAGCAGCAGAGTGTAGGCCGCCTCTGACACACACACACACACACACAGAGAAACAGTCAGTTATAGACTGTTACAGAAGTTACACGCTGTTGCATCATTTCTTGAACAAGTTCAGAAATAACACACACACACACAAAATATATTACACACTAAATTACACATGTTTTATTAACACACAAACTGAAACCCAGAACTGCACACAAGTCAGCTCTTGACAGTATGGCCGCAGGGCAAAGTCAAGTCACTGAAGCTAAAGTTAACAGAGAGAAATAAATGCACAGCGTTCTATTTTCAAATGCTGGGAATAATAATAGTTGGTTATATGAAACTTAAGGCCCTGTATGGGGGCCACACTTTGTGGCTCATAGCTACATAACTTACATACCAGTTTTATAGTAGTTATTGATTACTTTATAGAATAATACAGAAGAATTACTAAATAATTCTTTATTCATCCTGTTACTTCATATTCAATCATTGTGATATATATTTACTTGCTGTCATAAGAAAAGTTTTCCATATTTTCATCTTTAATTGCAGGATTTGAAAATATCAGCTGTCCTTTACATTATTTAAATGCTTCATGATTATTTGGAAAGCAAACTTTGAAAGTATTCAGCTAGCTGTGTGATTCTGTACTGAAAGTGTTCAGCTGTGTAATTCTGTACTGAAAGTGTTCAGCTGTGTGATTCTGTACTGAAAGTGTTCAGCTGTGTGATTCTGTACTGAAAGTGTTCAGCTGTGTAATTCTGTACTGAAAGTGTTCAGCTGTGTGATTCTGTACTGAAAGTGTTCAGCTGTGTAATTCTGTACTGAAAGTGTTCAGCTGTATAATTCTGTACTGATAATTCAGTGTTTAGCTGTATAATTGTATACTGATTCTGTACTGAAAGTATACAGCTGTGTAATTCTGTACTGATAATTCAGTGTTTGGCTGTATAATTGTATACTGATTCTGTACTGAAAGTATACAGCTGTGTAATTCTGTACTGATAATTCAGTGTTTGGCTGTATAATTGTATACTGATTCTGTACTGAAAGTATACAGCTGTGTAATTCTGTACTGATAATTCAGTGTTTGGCTGTATAATTGTATACTGATTCTGTACTGAAAGTATACAGCTGTGTAATTCTGTACTGATAATTCAGTGTTTGGCTGTATAATTGTATACTGATTCTGTACTGAAAGTATACAGCTGTGTAATTCTGTACTGATAATTCAGTGTTTGGCTGTATAATTGTATACTGATTCTGAACTGAAAGTATCCAGCCGTTTAATTCTGTTATATGATAATTCAGTGCTCAGGTACCTGTAAAATTCTGGGCCTTCAAGTGGAGCTCATAGAGTTTGTGGATGTAGCGAATGTACATCTCCTCTTTATTCAGCTCCGTCTTATAGAAATTCTAAACAGCAGAAGGAAGCAGAGAAAACTTCTTTAACAACACCAGCAAAGAAAATAATGCTAATGAATCTGAAAGCGCTACTTTGATTCTTTGAATTACCAGCAGATTAACAGTACAGCCAATTTTCTTCCCATCGACCTCTCCAATCTTCATACAATCCCTGAACAAAATAAAGAGAGTATGAATCAGGCAGTCTTTGTGAGGGTGTGTGTGAAGGTGCGTGTATGTTTAACCTTTCTCCATTAATTACATGATTTTTCAGTACTACATGTATGTGATATGTAAAGAACGCAATGTAACTTGCAAATTTGTAGATTTTTGTCTAATTTGTCTCACAAACTATCTTTATAAACAAGAAAATGCATGAATATGGATATAAGTCACACATCAGTCATGTTTTATTGCCACTCTGATTAAACGAAACAGTTATAAGCTCTGTGCTGTGCTCTAAATGAGCTTGTGTGATCAATCGGAAGAAGTAACAGTGCATCCTACAGTAAAGGAAGCCTCGTGCATCTTTTAAACAGTGATAGAAAATACAGCAGCTCTGATTCTACACAATGAATGCACGCAACTCCTCTGGAGGCAGATTTAAACAAGGGACCATCATCAAATTCTCAGAATGGATCTCCAGTGAGACGCTCAGCTTGATAGGGATAGCTGTGTATGTGTGCATCAGATAGCAGCACATTCTCACCTGTAATCCAGCAGTCTCTCCATAAGGCGTGTGACAGTGGCGATATGAGAGACTCCACTCTCTCTCCAGGTTTCTCTCTCAATCTTCTTCAGCAGGCTACAGCACACAAACAGAAACAGAAAAAGAGCAAGAGTTATTCCAGCCAAATTAATTCCAGCTATTCGCACTGCAAAGCATCCTGAAGCTTGCCAGTGGGACATTCGACAGGTTCTCATAATCTCTCATAGACAATAGCTGAACAATGCTGACTCACACTCAGTGACTCAACAAGTTATGTGTCAGATTCTATGCCAGCCAGTATTAATAACAACAACAACAACAACAACAACAACAACAACAATAATAATAATAATAATAATAATAATAATAATAATAATATTGGCATATCATGTGTGTACTAAAACAGCAGATTTTGGTGCATGTTTGGTAGACATAGACCAAAGAAACACATTAGATTTAATAAAAAGTAAATGTAGATTTTACCACAAATATTACATAAATCAAAGACATAAAATATAATATTCACATAGCAAAGTATACAAAAAAATTAATAAACAAAAAAGATTAAACAAAGAACAATGAAACAAACACTTTTGTGTTTCTGTGACATGCATTAAATCTAGCCTTGGACTAAATTGGAGAGCCAATGGTTAATCACCTTTGATAATTCTTTCTAGTCTAATCTTTCGTAGCCTTAATCAGGCCCTTTAAGACAAAAATAAACACAAAACTAAAGATGGTTAAACTCTAAAAATGTTTTAGCTGCCTTTAAAATGAGCATACAGGTGACTGACCCTCTGCCACACAGTATGTGTTACTACTAACAGCATATAGTGATCATGTAGTGATGATGTATTATTGTGGTGTCTCTTACCTTGGGTATGGGCCAAACAGAGGAATTCTGACCCAGAAAACGAACAGAAAAACAAGACTTTAGTACATGAGATTATTACATACAAACGACTGCACTGGCCATGTTCATACCAAACAACCCTGCAGAAACACTCACATGTTGTTGAAGAGCTCTTTGTAGGTCTCGTCTCCTTTGCCCTCTGACATCAGGCTCTCCAGTTTGTCAATCAGCTTTGCCTCCACCTGAAGACCAAGAGACCAGTGCACAACTCAGTGGTGCTTCTACACCAAACATCAAAACTAAACACCAAAGTCAGAAAAACTGCATGCACATAATCCTCCATAAATGTTCAAGCTAAGTGAACAGATTGGAGCACGTAAGTAGGTGTTAAAGTGCTGCCCTGCTAGTAAAAGTGGAGTTCAGGATACCTTTTTATGTGCGAAATCGGTTTCTCTGTTCACACTTAGCTCTTAAGTACTTTTTCATGTGTAATTTCATTCTGTTCTGTACGTTTAGCAGATGGACTGCTTTACTGTTGCTCATATCTCTCCTATTGAAGCTTCTGAATTTAGAGGATCACAAAAAGAGAAGAATGGTACAAACCTCAGTTCCAGTGCTGATTGACACTGGATGTACTAAGAATTTCCACTGGAGTTTTTTGAGGAGATCTGTACTCCAGGAGTTTTTTGACCTCATACTGTTTTAATCAAGTTGTTTATTTTTTTATAGGTACTTCTACCTCTACTTCAGTCATTACATAGGAATATTGTCACTTAGACAAGTGTGGTTTTAGGTCAAATGTGATTTTAGGCTACTGTTCAGCATTACAGACTGTTTTGTTACATGATGTACATGATGCACATATCAGATTTCTTTGGCTTCAGTTGTTTTTGGAATGTTTTTTGAGTCTGATGGGATGCCTACGGCATGGTTTGTTTTGCCAGCCTGATGTCTGAGTGATGTCATCACCTGTTTGAAGTTGCCGCTGCGGCGTTCCTCACTGTCCATCATGTCATGGAAGACGGGGATGAGGACGTTCCTCAGGTCCGGCTGTGGCACAAGAGTGACCTCCAGGAACGGACCAATCAGTGAAGGGATCAGATTCACTTTATAATCTCCTGGAGAACCAAGAGTGAACAAGGCATTTTAACATCTGTACTAGTCAGGAACTAATTTCACTATACAAATGTCTGGCTGTTCGTATCGTATTTCTGTGCCATTTTTAATGATTTTTAATGATTTTATGATAAAAGATGAGCCAGTGAGGAGACTTGTGTGATATGTCTTCACACTTCAGTTCCTCACTCTCATATCTACACAACTTACATATGAGTTTCCCGTCTAGTTCAGTAGTTAGAATTAGTGGTGCACAACTCCTGGTAGAGCTGGGCAATATGGCTGAAAAATTACATCACAATTCTTCAAGAACACACTCACTGTTCCTGGTACCAGGGATCTAGCCAGTGCCCTAATTCATATCCACTATGTACTGATTGAGAGAACTGAGACACAGCCTGAGGCTCAACTTGCAGCCTGGATCTTGAAGGACATATAATAAACACAATTATTATACATGCTGACCAGGAGGGCACTTGTACAGTCTGAGGGCAAAAGGGCGGGCGCTCTACCCCCTTTAGGGTCTATCTGGGCACATGCCTGAGTGTGTGTTAGGCTCACCCAGATTCTGCCACATGCTGAAGATTTCACAGCCGATCATCACCCGCATGTCTCCATACCTTCATAGTAATAAAAACAGCAATAAACTGGACATCGGCAAGGGCTGAGATACATTCCTATTCCTGTTACGCAATCACTGTTATAGTAAAACTAGTAATTAGACAAAGTTAGACAGATTCAAGAAACTAAGACAAGACTGCAATTCTTAAGAGGAGCCTATGCTCATTCATTACTACCATCTTAGACGCTGCACACAGTGCATGACAATCTGAAACCTTTTCCAACAGTTCTCTATGGGCTTTCTGACTGTGTAGAAAAATGGAAGCTGCTCACTTTTCCAGCACTTTCTTCCTTTTGGACGGAGGGAACATCTCAAGCTGGAGGCACGGCTGAATAATGAATATTATCGAAAGATAAAAATAGGACTCCCACACCTGAAAGAGAAAGTATAACAGGACTATATATCAACTTCTGCAAAAGTTTGCAAAAAGTCTGCCAAAGCACCCCTGGTCAAATTACATATTTTGTTAATTTAAGTGAAAAGAAGTGAAAATAATTTAACACGTCCTCTAGAGGGAACACGCTTAAATATGGCACTTTTTTGTATATTTTAGAGTACAGTTTCTATTTATTTGCTAAGCTTAACATATTAGAAAAAATGAAATATAAAATCGAAAATGAGCCATAACTTTTGCACAGACCACACGTTGATTTATTTTTTGTTAAATTCAGCAAATAAAATAAATAAAGTTCTGTGTTAACTTATTTACACTTAGAAAAACAACAAAATGTGTCATTTGATCAGGGGTGCCCAATGACTGAATATCTAAATGCCACTGTCCACACTGTTGACATGGTCAAATGAAGGGTGGACGGCTAATATCAAGTTCCCTATCAGTGCCATACATAAGTGTTATATTGAAAATATGTTGCAATATATTCTCTTTATATTGTGAAACATATTGACATTAGGAATGCATGACCAGGTTTTTGTGACTGATATTCAGTCACTTTATTATTTTTATTTTGGCCGATCTGTGTTGCAGTTTTATGAAGTAAGTAATATAAGTCAGATAAGTTCACTTGCACTGTATTTGAATGCTGCATGTATTAAAATGCTGTACAATTATTACGCATGACTCGTTGTGCTAAACTGCCAGTTCCCTCTTACTTCTGATGGAGCACTTTATTTGAGTCATGTTTTTTAAAAGGGCAACTGATTTTTCATTTAAGAACTTCAAATGCATGTTTGGCCCAAAGAGCAAATGATGGTCACAAGAACATAAAACCTTTTATCAAGATTTACTAGCATTGTATTACTATTATGTGGAAATCACCCCCTGGCCTTTGGATAAAGGGAGTGTCATTCAACACCCCCTGAAAAAATAATGTTTAATATAAAGAAAAAACCTAAGGTTTTACATATTTCCAATCCAGGACAGAAGATTTCGGAGTGATTGAATTATTAATAATCTAACTATTTTTTATTGAACCTTTTATACTTTTCTCACCTGTATACTATACTAGTTCTTATTGTATACTTGATCTTATTGTATAAGCACTAGAGGGCTGCTATCTGATTTGAGTCTGTCAAGGCCCAACAAAATATTGGGTTTCGGGTCGGGCTTGGGATGTTTTTTTTACATGCAGCGTTGGGCTCGTGTCTGTTTACTAATGACTGATTTTTTGTGACATAGACTTGTAAATCTTGCACACTTGCATGCCTTTTCTCCTTCCCTCTCTCTCTCTCTCTCCCTCACTCTCTTTCTCTCTCTCACGCAGAGGTAGGAATTCTTTCCATTTTGCTATCCAAGCTCACCCGAAGTGTGTTAAGCATTCCTGAAAGTAGCTGCAGTAGCGAGTAGAGGAACATTTTAACAATTTATGAGAGGACAAGTGTTCCATAATCAGTACTGACAGCGTATTACAGATGAGCAAAACACCAGTTTAACTCAACAAAACAAAGCACTGTAAAGCTGCGTCTGCGATTATCCATCTCTATTAGTGCACTGAAGCTGAAGTTAGCTTCATGTTCCATTCCTCCTTAAACGGCACTGCCAGAATGTAACTGCTGCACCATTTGAGGTGGATGAAATTTTTGAATAAGAAGCGGATAAATAAGAAACTTCAGTCTCGTGCATTCAAGCAGGTTCAGATTGGGCTACAATTGCATGCCCATGCAGACCTCCAATGAGCACTGCTCAGGTAAGAGTGGGCGGGGTGGGGTGGGTGAGTTTGTAGAGTTTTAAATTATATCATTTTTTTCAATGTGTAATTTTTTAACATAAAGGTAAATTTAATAAACATTGACAAAAAAGAGGAAGTAATGTTATTTCTGTTGTGTCTATGGCTAATAGAAAGTACTGGTAATGCTCCAGTGATAATTTGGCTAATTTGGCTGTAAAGAAATGAGAATCAGCCACTGAACTGTCAATCTTTAGCCAACATACAACAACATATTTCAATATAATTCATAGGGATCGTGACAGACATGAGGTTTTAGAAATTAAAGGAAAGGAACAGCCTGGCTGCTTTCAGGGAGAAGAAGAAAGATGAGACAAATATGGTTGAAATGCACACAAACACAGACAGATGCATCGCCAACGCACACAAATGCAATTTTCTCATACCTTGAAGTCAAATTTCTCATTAAGGAAGTTGTTGCGCAGCGTGTCAGAGAGATAGAGGACCGTGGTGATGATCACACTGGAAACAAGTGGGAAAAACACAGTTATCAACATATTCAACATATTCTATAGTCTGCAGATTACAGCACAATACAGCCCACACCATATAATAAACTTCTCCTAAACCTGTTTCATTTAGCATTTGTTCCTACAGGCCTGATTCATATTCAGCTCTTTCTGATATGCTAAAGCAGGAAATCCACTTAAGTATGCAGTGCTTTGGTCCTCAAGGACTGGACTTCAAAAGCCCTTTGGCCTACTGAACTTACTTATTAGTGACCAATCTCATGACTGTCCAGTCTTTAGGGAACATGTCTGGCCGGATGAGAATTCTGAAGACAGTGAACAGCTGCAGGAGAAAATTCTGGAACAGAAGAAGAAGAGAGCACAGCAAAGTTCAAGAGCTGTCAGAAAAACAGTTCATGCTTTTGAAACACACACACATAAAAATAATATTTATGTTTTTACTCATTTCAATGTTGTAAAAACAGATTGTGGTTTGATCAATTGATTGTCTGATTTATCACTGTTGCCATCATTGGTACAAGTGACTGAAGTAGGGCAGAACAAACAGGACTCTCTATAGGATTCTGTTTCGTGTGAGTGGGTCAGAGGGGATTCAATAAACTTACCGCCAGCTCGTCTTTACCGGGGAAGCGGCTCAGGAGCTGCTGGTAGTCCTTATCACTCAACTGCCTCAGCAGAGTGAGCAAACAGGCCACGAATTCACCCTACACACAAAAACTGCTTCTAAACACACTGTAGAAATGCTTCAGAAACAAAAATGAATAACTGAAAACTGCTTTTACTTTTAGTTAACTTTTAGTTAGGAAACACAATTTTTCATAAAGAGGTATAATTAAATCATTAAGGTATAAACAAAGTCATTCAGAGCAATTTGATGTGAAATGTGCCGCTATAGAGAAACTTATCAGAATTGTTCACAGTGGTGGTGATAGGAACCGGACTTCTGAAGAGCTTAATGCCTCTGAAAGCTCCCTCACAGGGTCGAGAGACACATACAGGACACTTTATAAGTCAAAACAATCTCCCAAAAAGGTACTTACTTATTTATTTCGCACCATTTTTCCATGATCAGTATTGTATTTAAAACTCAGAAGACACACATAGGTTCAGTGGTCATTTTGGATGGTAAATGAAATTGTTATATTTGTGTTGTAGACATTGTGACCTCTGGTTCCTATCAACACCACTGTTAAGAAAAAGGCTGGTAATTTTCTCTACAGTGAACCATTTCACATCAAAGCACTCTGGATGACTCCAACTGAAATGCTTCATTGTCTAGATCTGGGCTTAAAGAGTATCTTTAAGCTACTGCCTGAAGTGTGTGGTATATGAGGTCACTCACGGTGACGTCCTGATACTGCAGACGCAGTGAGGTGGCCGCTGGCTGGGGTCGATTAGTGACCTCCAGTATAGTCCTCAGTAACACTCCAGACAGACTGTCCATGATTACATTCACTTCCTCAGACACAACACAGTCCTACACACACACACACACACACACACACACACACACACAAAGAGAACACAAGAGAACATCAGTAACTCACCAAGTTCTAATTAGGCATAGATTCTTTGCTAACAAGTAATGGAGGCTTGATTAGCATTGTGCAATTACATCAAGTAATCTGAAAAGAGGCTTGTTAACGTGTTTTCTGACACTGTATGAAAAAGTACCTCATAAATGAAAACAGTACTAGCAGCTTTCAGTAGGCCTGAATTTTGACTGTCCTTGACTGTTTATTTTACAGTATGTGTGTGAAGACTGAGGCATGCAGTGTGCACAAAGCTAACTGGTAGGGTTAAGCTTCCATTACTTGTTAGCTACATTAGCCTCAAAGCTTCAGTGCAAAACTTACAAGCAAACTTCAAACAGCAATATTTCTGTGCTGATCAACTATCTGGTCATATTCAAAGGTTTGGACACCCCCTGTCAAATCACAAAATCTAAGCCAAATGAAAATCAGTTAACATATCCTGTACTGAGAACACACTTCTGCACATTGTAATGCATAATTACTGTTTAAGTAAAAAATAAATAAATTTAAAATAAACACACAAAAAAAAAAGTTTAAAATTTATGTTTTATTTTGCCCCAATATGCTAAAAACTGAAATTGAAATTGTGCACTAAAATTTATAGCGATAGGAACCCTCAACTTATTTTCACTTACAAAATCAACAAAATGTGTCATTTAACCAAGGGTGCTCAAACTTTTGCATATGACTGTATTTGGGGGGGAGAAGAAAATTTAGTAAATAATGTTTTTTTAAAACATGCTCAATATTAGTGGAATGATATTATAACAACAATCTCATAACAGGAAATATTAGATAAATCAGTGAGAATCAAGATTTCACTTGCCAATTTACTATTTGTTTGCAGTGTACTGTCCCTGTTAAATACAGTAACGTGAGCCATTGCAGAGAAAAGCGTTTGAAGCTGGAACACTTACAGTGTTGGGGTCTTTGTGGACCAGTGACAGCATGCTGGTGAGGATATTAGCACACAGAACCAGCTCCTTCTGCTCCTGCAGGTATGTGCGGAGAAGATGGAGAACCACAGGCAGCAACACACACCGCGACTCTGCAAACAAACACACACACACAGACTTTACTTCACAGTCTGTCCTACTAATGTAATATTCCAGTAATCACTGAAATACACAAATTACATGCCTAAGAGCAAACAATAACCTCATCCTGTACACTGATTCAGTCTGAGAGCAGAGATAATATAATGTTATTTGGAATGCGCACCTGCATTGGTGTAGAGTGGGCTCTCCACAGTCTTGGCCATGCACTGCAGCTTGACGGCCTGCAGGGGGCACTCTGTGTGCGTGTTTGCAGGCAGGCTGCTGAGTGTGTCTCGCGCCAGGTTTGCCACCTCCCGCACACTAAACACTTTCAACAGCTCACAACACACAGTGGGGAAAGACCTCAGAAACACAGCCTGAGGGGACACACACACACACACACACACACACACACACACACACAGAGAGTGCAAAAATGAATAAAATACATCAAACATTCATTAGAGTAAAATGGATGGGTTATTATTATGGATGTAAGAATGCATTCTATTTCTTTTTTTTTGCTTTTTATTGTTTGTATCCCATGACTGTGTAAATATTTGCTTCAGTCACATTTGCACAGTACCACACAAAATTTAGAGACTTACTCTTATTTATTTAATTTCCAGTCAAAATGGTTATTAACTACAAATTATTCATATTTCAGGAGATGCTTCTGAGGAGACCAGATACATAATGACCACCCCAGACCTCACCCCAGAGTCCAGACCTCAATATCACTGAATGTGTCTGGAATTTCTTTGATGGGATCGTGAGAAGCAGAAAATACAAAAACAACTTTCTAAGACTGAACTTGAAGTGTGGAAAATTATCTTTGCAGATTTCCTTATTAAACTGAAAGCAAGTCTCTTGAAAATAAAGCTGTCCCGAAGTCAAAGAGTGAAAGAGAGAGAAAAATGTGATATTATATTTAGTTGTTGGCACTTCTGTGTGATGTTCTCTTAACCCTTGTGTGATGTTGGGGTTTGTGGGACCCATTTTCAGTGTTTACCAAAAGAAAAATGATGCGATTTATTATTATTTTAACCTCAGATTCCTTGGTCTTTGCTCATTTTCTGTGAAGAACCTATAAAATAACACATTTTCAGTGTCTTCACACTGTTCACCCCCCACACATTTATATTACACACGTGGTGTTGGGCTGAACCCTGGGGAATAAAAGTGTGGAGGTGCTGTGTCCTTCACTCTGTTCTCCTACATGGCCTGCTGTTAGTGTGTGTGTGTGTGTGTGTGTGTGTGTGTGTGTGTGTGTGTGCGTGTGTGTGAGGGTGGACAACATGGACAGGCTGCTGACTGGCTACAGCTGCTAAAGGAGAACCCTACGCTGGACACTTGTGATATTTTAAACATCTGGTATTTTTACATAAATTGTTATGGCTGTATTGATTTAAAAAACAATGCGGTGGGTCCACCAGACCACTGAGTAACAAACACATCAAGGGTTAAATATATATGCTTTAAACCTGATGCTGAGACTTAATGATGTACTGAATCATTTCAATTGCTGAAATCATTGAACTGTAATTGAATTGAATCATTGTGTGTTACTATGGCAACATCCCACAGAGCCCGGGTGTGTAAGCAAGGTACCATTTATTCACAATAACGGCAATAAATGTGATCTACTGCTAATGTGACCTTGTCCTCATGTACTGGAGACACTTACAAAGCTCAGGCCCTCTGAGCACAACATGGAAGAGCAGCACTGAGAGTAACAGAACTGCTGGGACAGAGTTCTTACTCCTGCCTGATTACCACAGATACCGAAAGATTAGGCAAAGTGAGTGTATGTTGCTATGTTGCTCCAGTGTTTGAAAGTTTACAAGAACGTAAGTCAGTGTTTCCCACGTCTAGACTATACTTGGGTGCCCACTCAGAGTGCATCGCCTTCAACCAAGTATATTTCATCCCAATTTTAACAATATCCAGTTTTAATTTCATCACATTTTAACAAATTCCAAAGAGAAAATATTTTATATTTGTATAAATAAACAATGACACATAGGCCCAATCCCATTTCACCCCTTGCCCCTAGCATTTAGCCCTTTCACACTTAGGGTAGGGTGTTTTGTTGAGATAGAGGGGTAGGGTCAAGTGTTAGAGCTACATGTCCCTCCAAACGAAGGTTTTTCAGAGGGACATTCCAAACAGAGTGTTACAAGAAAAAAACTGAATACCGACAAGGTGGCTGCGCGAGCGACCAAAGAAACCCACAAATGTGAGAATTTTCTCTGTTAAAAAATTACAATAAACATTGTATTATCTTAGTTTAATGTCATTTCAATGTATTATGGTCCTTTTCTAAATAACAAGCATAAAAAAACGCTAACAGTATGCTAATGTGTCGGTAGCTAGCTAGCTAAATTACCATTAATTCCATTTAAGGTGGAACAGGAAAATTCAAACAAGAAGCTGTGAATAGCTGACTTCAGCTTCAGGTCACTGAAGACTTAGGAGTGAGCGATAACAAATAATTGCCCCCCCCCTCCCCCCTTTGAAGACATGTGATGCCCTAATGTAACTAAAGCCCAGCAGTGAAGTTGCTGAACTTTACCCTCCTCTGCTATCACTGCAGACTGGCAGGGTCGCCTACAGAGCAACGCTAGTAGCCTGTTAATGAAGTAATGCTCTTATTTATTTGAGGGTCCAGTTTCATAGGGGATGATTCCAACGACTGTAACTCAGGTCTAAGGGGCAAGGCAGCACTCGAATACAAGGGGTAGGGGTAAAAATAAGAAATGGGATTGGGCCAAAGTGTCACGGCTGCAAAGCATTGTTTTTTCCTATGGTCCAACCTAAGCCAAGTCCATGTAAAAAAAGAAAACATGCCTTAATTGAATATATGAACAAGTAAACAGATGCTGTAATGAGTTTGGATATCTGTTTATTAAAATGGCTTTATTAATCATGGCTTTTTTCCACCTTAAATAAACAGGCTACATTGCTTAAGCTCTCTACTAATAACCATTCATTTTAGCCAGTAATGCTGTCAACATTTGCATTGCTTCATGCTGTCGTTGGTCACGTGAGGCATAAAATGGTGTTTTTATCAACATCAACATGAAAACGCAGTGTTCGACCTGTGTTGTTACAGTGTAACAGCAGTGGTTCTGAATTTGCATTATGTAGAGAAGTCTTTCACACTTGCATTCAGCAGCTGCCCAAAAGCTCCTACTGTAAGCAACGTTCAAGTCAAAGGGTTTTTCTGTTCTTTTCTAAGTGCAGGAAGATACGTTGGATTTGTCCATGTTAATCAACAGCACAGGACACGGCAGATAAAGATTAGTTAGGTGGCGCATTCCTTTAAAGGAAGAGCCTCCATACAGCCTGCACAGTGAAGAATGTAGACTGTGCTCAGTGGAGGACATCAAACATGTATATATGTATGGCACTCACAGACGTGCACATACACACACACACACACACACACACACACACACACACAAAAGCTTCAGTATAAATACAGTGTGTGCAGTGACACAGGGCTGGCACTGATCCCGCAGTCTCCGTGTGCTGCGGATTAGTCGCGGGTAGCCGGAGATGCTTTGTGTCCTCAGGCATGTTTAATTGAAATCTGCTCTCCTGCTGCGTCGCCATAACAAGCATGAACCCGCACACACGCCTGCCTGTGTTTATTACAAAATCAAAATATGTGCTTTCATACAGTGTGTGTCTGTAAATGGATGAGTGTGTGTGTGTGTGTGTGTGTGTGTGTGTGTGTGTGTGTGTGTGTCACCATTAATATTCATGGCGTGTGTACGTTTGTTTTCTAAGGCATGCAGAGCTACCCTGCACACACACACACATGCGCACACACACACACACTGCTGCCGGTACTGAGCACAGTGGATGCTGAGAGTGTGAAACTGCGTGAGAGACTGTAAACAGACTCAGTGTGAAAACAAGTGTGCGCTCATCTCTGTTCCACCTGTATTTGTAGGTGTGTGTGTCTCATCTGTGTGTATTAGGGCTGCATACATCACAGATTTTAGCACAGTAACCCAGAGTCACCTCAGTGTTCTACTTTCCTTGGAGGAAATACATCATCTAAACACCTATCCGATATTTTAAAGCAAATATCTGCAGATTCGAATGTCACTGTGCATCAAAAGGCATAAGGAAGTGCAGACAGACGTCAGAGGGAATACGCCAAGATGCATGGAGAATTTTTTTCAACCAAAAGAGAAAATACTGACCCATAAAGACAAGATCAAACAGGACAACAAAATCTAACACTTAAATCATTTCAATGATAATAAAAATGAGAAGCATTTATTAAAAACACTGTTTTATTCCTTCTTACCTTTTCCGTGGTGACTGTGAGACATTAAACGTTAGATTTAGAAATTGCTAATCTTTGTTCATGATGAAAAAATTCACAAGCAAAAGCCGAACAGCAAAATATAACATTAAATTTAATTACTTGATGATGCCATGCTTTAAAGATAAAACAACAAATATTTTCTCCAGTGTATTAAACATTTGTAGACACAAAATGTGAGTTGCTTCATGGGTTCCTGAGTGGTGCGGTGGACTAAGCCCTCACCCCAACAGAATGTTGTGAGTTTGAACCCCAGCAACGCCATAGCTGTCCATAAGTGTGTACCTGAGAGGAGAAATGTCTAGCAGGATTGTGTGATGGAAAAAGTTCTGACTAGTGGGGAAGTTGAGTATAAAAACAAGTTCATTTATTTACCTAACTGAGAAAAATTAAGAGAACTTTTGACTCAACTAAGAAGTCTGAGCTAACTTAGTTTGAGTCAACTAAAGAAAAGCCATGAAAGCAGTTACTATATCATTTTGAGTTGAGCTGACCTCTCATTTTTTAAGAGTGTAGTGATTTGAGCATGCAGTGTACATCAGACTTTCTGCTGACCTCTGAGGGCAAAGACAGCATCATAGCCTGACATGAACTGAAACATAAGAAAAATTCTTTTGCAGTGCATATTCACCTCGAAATGCAGCATCTGACACTAGCCTTCAGCGCTTGGACCACTCTTGGACCACTCTGTGGTAATGACTGACAGACTAGTTATAATGAACAGCCGTGCAACCCCTAGTGTGTGTTTCTCACCTGCGTGTGTGTGACGGGGCTGATTCCTTTGCTCTGGTGGGAGAGGAACAGGTGGATGGATTTGAAGAGCTCGTGAACAGAACAGCGGAACTCCTCCTCTGCCTGCGCCGCTGTGGCTGCAGCATACAGCATGCGCGACTGCACAATGTACTTAAACAGGTACTCTGCAGCCTGCATGCGCACAAACACACACACACACACACACACACACACACACAACAGAAAACGTTACAGTAAATTACAACCTTTTTTAACAGTCACTCACACATATAACACACTTAAAGAAGTATTCTGAATAAAAGCAGTATTTAACATGTAATTTGTCCTCTTATGCAGAAGCAGAAGTATCTCTCAGTCTGACTAGATTCCTTGACATGCTTTTGTCCCTTACTATGATACCCAGAATGCACTAGGCAAAGGAAGTATTCCCCTTCACTTCTTCTCTTATGATTTCTGCACACTGAATAATTCAGAGTGGTTTGAGTCAGAATAGTTCACAGTGATGGAACCACAGTGATGGAACCAGATGTCCAGGAACCAGGGGCTGTATTCACAAAAGTGTCTTAAGAAATAAAACCTTCTTAAATAGGTGTTTTTTCTTAACTTCCTTCTTAAGAAAAAAATTATGGGAAATTGTTATTCTTCAAATAACATCTCTTATTTTCACTTCTTAAGCATTTCCTTAAGAATAATTCTACGAACAAGTGGTATTCTTAAAAATATTATGAAAATATTATGTAGCCTCACACTTGTCTTAGGCTGTAAGAGTTGACAAGATGAGCATCTAAATTTATCACGGACGCTGCCTCTGCTGCTCCTGCCCGTCCTCGTCCGTCACCCTATAATTATCATATTTTCCAATGAGGATTTTTTCCTGTTGGCTGCGTCTTCAACCATCACTTCTAGTTCGCTAATTTTTTTTAGAATGCTCAGTTTGATGTGTTCCTCTGAGGGGATTAACATAATAACGGAAATACATACATACATACATCATCTAAACCACTTATCCTTCTGGGTCGTGGTGGGGTGCTGGAACAACGGAAATAACAGTTAGAAATTCAAAATGTAACTTGCGTCATTTATGGTACATGATAAAATGCAATGTAGTATACATGAAAAAACAATGAAGTTTTTTAAGAAAATCTTAAGAAAATATTTACGATTATCTTAAGATGATATTTGAGAACTTCTTACATTTTTTTTCAAGAATTGCTTTTAAGAACATTCTTACGAACTTAGTATTTGTCTTAAGAACCTTCGTAATTTTTTCCTTGAGAAAGGAATCCAGCCCCAGATGTAACTACTTCTAAGCTACTTCACAGAAAGCTATTACATGAAATGGTTATGAATCTGATGACTGAGATGTTGTTGTACGATAGTTTTGAGAAGATTTTGGCCTAAAACTTATTTTTAAAATACATTGATGGTGGAGAGGTAAACGCAGGACTTTCTGAGAAAAAACAGCTCCTAAAGAAAATTTATGTTATTTCAGTTTACCACAATTTGGCCATCAACACTGCATCTTAACACTCAGACGACGTGTAGGGTCACTGTTCATTTTGGATAGTAAATAAAACGGCTGTATTTGTGTTGTAGACATCCTGCATTCTTATCACCACCACTGTAAAGGAATCTGACTCTGTAAATTTTGAAAATGCTCCATTTTACATGAAATCACTCTGAATGACTTTGTTTACATCTCAAGCATCTTATCATACAGGCCTTTTTTTGAAAATCAGTGGAATTCCCCTTTAACATTTATTGTTACATTTTATTACATCATGAAACATACAAAGTCAGGCCATAACAGACGTCAGTGGCAATCAGCTGATCCTAAATTGGCCTAAAAGCGTAACCCCGAGCTCTGAGGCTCTGCACGAAACACTTCTGCTCTATATTTGTCACGTTTGAGGGAAGAAAACATTTTATTGCTTCCAAAATCACAAGTGTTTGAAAGGTTTGAGCAAACGTGGAAGCATTTCACAGCCAGGCAGCCTCACACTGGAGAACGGCGCAGGCTCAGGAACAGAGAGACGCGCTGGCTTTCTGGAGCCCTTTATGAAGTCCTGCTCTTAAACAGGATATGCTTATGAAAGAGGTGCCAGCAGCGTCTTCAATCTGAGGGTGAACGAGAGGGTAAAGATGCTGAATGCTGATGAAGGTTATTCAGAGTCGCCAGCACACTGAGCTCTGTGGAACAGGATACACACCCAGCGGGTGGGAGGGGGGCCGGGCGGGAGAGGGGTACGTACATATGTGCATTTGTTTTGTGTGTGTGTGGCTGTTTTGTTTGTGTCTACGTGTGAATGTGTGAGAGTGTGTGAATGCAAGAGAGAGTGGAAGAGAGAGAGAGAGAGAGAGAGAGAGAGAGAAAGAGGGTGGGAGTGAGAGAAAGAGAGAGGAAGAAGGGGGAGAGAGAGAGAGAGAGATAGAAAAAAGAGTAAAATGGAGAGAGACCGGCTCCAAACAGCAAGACTGTCTGAACAGCACTGAAGAGTTTTCACCTTGAGAACCTGCTGGATCTGCTCCTGGTGCTCAGCATCGATGATCCGATCCACGTACCACTTCAACACTCGGATCAGGTCCCTGCACGCACACACACACACACAGACACAGACAGTGCATTCATAAACAGAGAGAAAAAATGAAACTACTACATGTGGAACTGACTATTGATGAACTGGAGGAAATGTACATTTTTTGGCTCCTCCTAATACAGTACTGCACAAAAGTCAGAGAACACCCTTCATTTATTTCTCTTTACTAGCCAAAATGGCCATTAAGCACAAGTATGTTAAGCACAAGTAAGACTCCTAACAAAAATTTAAATGTAGTTATGTTGTAACTGAAGACTGGGGGAGGGACACGGCTGAAACCCCTCTTCCAATCTAACGCCCTATTAATTCACATTCTCACCTTCCATTCTTGTGACGAAGTGTTCGCAATCCCCACCGCCACCCCATCTCCTCCCTGTTCCCAGTCCTACATCAGTCCTGCTACAGCTATAAGGGGGTCTGGCCTTCTAGCTACAGGCAGAAGCTGCCCAGAGCTCCAGCCCAAGTTCTCAGAGTTCTCCCCTACCTCCCTCAATCAGTTTTCTCTCACACTACCACCATGTTGAAGGCATGGTCTGAACCTGATGGGCTACCAAAGCTGCCCCATCAGATAAACAGTGATTAAAGGTTTCATCTTTGAGAGAAAGGAGAAAATCAGGCTCCACTCTTGATTCAGATCTGAAAACATCCACAGGAGTTTCTGTCCATCCTTCCACTGTGAGAAGACAACTCAGCACTATGAGTCTGAAAGGATTTGTAGCTGAAAAGATGTTACTGAGAAAAGGAACATTGACAAATCAAACAAAGAATGTGAGCAATGGACTGACCACCCCAGAGCCCAGGCCTCAACATCACTGAATGTGTTTGGGATTATTTGGATTGTGAGAAGCAGAAAAATCAACCAACCTCTAAGACTGAACTTTGGAGGTAAAAATATCCCTGCAGATTTTGAGTTGTTAAAGCTAATGAATATTTTTTCTGTTAAATACATGTTTTCTATGTTAAATATGTCCAATTCTATCCATAGAATTATATTTATGTATAACAAAACAGTCCAAAAAACAGCAAAAGAAACACATTCCATAATCCAGCAAAACATAATATCTCATCTAAAGCACAAATGGTGTCTCATACACACAGTATAAGTAGCTTCATGAACACTGAAACCCTGCACTGTTCCACAGAAAACCACAGTGTACAAATGACTTGGGTTTTAGTGTCATACGCCGATGCTCTTGTTAGCTTTGATCTGTGCTTTAGTGGAGGCAGTGAAGCACTGTGGCTTCTATTCCAGCATGCATGCTGCTGAGTGGATGAAGCTTGGAAATATTCTCATTCGGAGACGATTCTGCCTAGTAACACTGCCTCTGCCAAACTGTTTGATGATTCAAACGTATGTCTGGGGAATATCTTTCTCTGAAATGTGTGTATGGATTTATAGCCTGCATACTGAACAGAAGGGGTGTGTGAGTGTGTGTGTGTGTGTATAAGGGAGGGGAGGGGGCATTATTAAAAATTATATTAATCTGCAGAGAAATGCAGCACAACATCATTAAGAAAGAAAAGAAACACTTAGCTATTGTATTTACTTCCTGAATCTGCTGGGTTGTAATGAATCCAGATGAAATATGAATATTTTACAAAACTGGGTCTCTATGAGTAAGTCTGCTCATTTTGAGACCCAAGAGAATGATTTTTCTGTTAGGGGGAATGTTAACATTTGCTATAAGGCAAAAATGAATGTAATCTCAAGCCGAAGTACCAGCATACATATCCCAAAAGATTAAATCAAAAATTCTAATCAGACTGTAATTAAACACATGCGGGTAGCACGCTTACAAATTGAGAGGAAGTGTGTTACTGATGTTTTCAGTGCTGTGCTCCACATTTTCTACTGCTTTTCTACTAGAACAAAGAAAAACTCCCAAACAATTTACCGACTTCACTGTTCTCTTTATTGGAAACTTGACCTTGTACTTCAAGTCACTGGCCACTTTGTCTGAAACCCCAAACCCAACGTTGTGAAATGTTCAAAGAACATCTTAAACAGGTGATGCCATCATGCCTAAGTATAAAAGAAGCATAAAGTAAAGGTTTAGTCCTTTATGAGCAAGGATGAGTCAAGGCTCCCCACTTTGCAAAAAAAATAAAAAAATCATTGAATAATCCAGCAGTTTAAGAACAACGTTCCTCAATAAGCGATTACATGTAAGGAACTTCACCCTCAATGGTGCATAACAGCATCAAAAGATTCCATGAAGCCAGAAACATCTCTCTGCATAATGGACAAAGCCATATGTCAACAACATCCAGAAACACCACTGACTTCTCTGGGCTCGAGCTCCTTCACTGTTCTCTTTATCGGAAACTTAACCTCGTACTTCCACTCACTGGGCCACTTTATCTGAAACCCCAAACCCAATGTTGTGAAATGTGCAAAGAACATCTTAAACAGGTCATCATGTTTGGGTATAAAAGAAGCATAAAGTAAAGGTTTAGTCTTTTATGAGCAAGGATGAGTCGAGGCTTGCCACTTTGCACAGAAAAAAAGTCAGTGAATAATCTAGCAGTTCAAGAACAACATTTCTCAATAGGCGATTACATGTTAGGTTCTTCACCCTCAGTGGTGCATGACAGCATCAAAAGATTTCATGAAGCCAGAAACATCTTTCTGCATAATGGGCAAAGCCATCTGCCAACAACATCCAAAAACGCCACCGACTTCTCTGGGCTCAAGCTCATCAGATACAGACTGATACACAGTGGAAATGTATACTGTTGTCTTGTTTGTTTGTGTATTGTTTATGGAAATAATGGACTCTGTGCCAGAGAAGAAAAGGACTATCCAGACTCTTAGCAGCGTAAAGTTCAAATGGGTCTGTTGTTAATAGGAGAGGTAATGGAACACAGTGGTAAACATATTCCTGTCTAAACTTTTTGGACTGTGTTGCAGGCAGCAAATTTGAAAGAAGCTTTCAATCGTTTTATTAGCATTTCTCACACTGGCCCAACTTTTCTGAAACTGAGGTTTGTATGTCCACCTTGATGACGGCAGTAACTATTACAATTTCTCTATTAACCTCTACGCATGTAAAATGTGTAATACAAATATGTAAAATACAAACTGAACATGTCAATGTTGTTTACTGTATTTTTCCTTGAGCTTCAAAATATCCATCCGGACTGCAGATCAACCTTAGTGTGACAACCAGGATGCTGCGAGGCAGACCGCAGTGTATGCGCGTGTTTGTGTGAGTAAAGCCAATGGCAAGCCATCGAACTGCAAACTGCAAAAAAAACTCTAAGCCTCATTATTTTAACCTCATTAGAGTGTTCATATGCTATATCCCAGAGTAATCAGTGAGCCAGGCTGAGGTTTATTCCACTAAAACTGTGTACTGAGCTCAACTAATAGCCAAGGGACACACAAAAAAGAAACAGAAAATGGAGCAATTACAGCTGATATTTCAAACGAAGCTTTCAAAGATCGTAGAGTGGGAGAGAGAGAGAGAGGGAGAGAGAGGGAGAGGGAGGAAGAGAGAGAGAGAAGGAGCCAAGGTCTGGCAAAAGAAAGTCTGGCGATAGGAACAGCATGTGAGTGATTAGAACTGCACCCTCACCCACCCACGCACACACACACACACACACCTTGATCACACACGTGAGAAAATGACACTCCACCTCATGTTTCAACCCACACACCAGCACATGCTAATCCACCAGAGAGTGAGGGATGAATGCTCAGGGCCTGAAAAGAGGAGGAATGAGAGGATGGGGTGAGGAGAGGTGGACAGATGTCAAGGGCTGAGAGAATGCAAAGTTAATTAGTGTGAGAGAATGAAAAAATAAGTCAGAAAGGGGAAAAATGATGAGAGATACGCTATAAAACAACACCAATCACTGTACACTGTTACAATAACAAGGCACTGCACAGGCTCACTGCAAATTATGTGAATGCCCCCTTAAAGGTACAACGTGGTCCTTAAGGTGCAGTCGTTTACCTTAACTGATTTTTAAAGAAGAAACGTGCATAGTTGTATCTTTTCACAATTTTTTGTATAGAAAAATAAGCTAAAAAGTCTAAAGTCAAGATAGGATTCAAAGACTTAAACCCCCCACCTAAAAAAAAATAATAATAATCTTGTCCTTTTCAGCTTGCCATTTTGGAAGTAACTTCACTGTCTTTGTGTGATGTTTGGCTGTTGGTGACCTTCCCCCATTCCCTGTGTGTGAATTAGTTTCCCTCTCTGACGTTTCAATAAAAAGCATTCTACTGAGCAGAAAATGGCAGACTCCTGTGTCTATGCTACACTGGTATCAGAAGTGAGATGCGGCCGCTGAGCTTAAAGAAGTCGAATGCCGCATCAACCACCTCGAACGCCGGCGACAAAGAAAACACAGCCCGGAAGGGGGTACCAAGGGCTATGCCTGCCCCCTCCCATACAGGCCCAGTCAGCTAAGAGTGAGGCTGCTGTTTGGGGAAGATGGCAAAGGAAACAGCAGAGTGAAGTTCAGCAGCAGAGCCTAGCTGGAGCCTGGCGAGAAAGAAATGGCACGTATCCGCTTACCATGCTACAATGACAAAGGTGCCTGGGAGCTGTACCCCGCACAGCTGCAAATGGTCCTCTGGCATCATGGCTGGTCAGCGGCCATCATCATGACCTAGCTGCGTTTGGCACTACAGGTGCTTTTGGATCTGCCGTTGGAACAACTTGATGACCTGGCATTGACCACAGCCCTCCAGCGGCATTTTCGGGCAGGTGCCTGCAGTGTGATCAGTCAGGCGGCTGCTTTCAGAGAGGTGGAGGCTAAAGGGAGAGCAGATAGGCGTGCTGGCAGCAGAGCTGAGCACGATGGTTTGACAGGCGTACCCTGCATTTGAAAAGGCTGCACAGCTAGAGTTGGCGCTGGAACACTTCCTGAAAGTGCTGTTGCCGGAGGAGCTGAAATGGCACATGCAGCTTGCCGCACTGGCCAGCCTTCAAGCAGCCGCTGCTGAGGCAGAGAGGGTAAAACTCATCCCCGGAGTAAAAATGCTGCGGCGATTAACACAATACTGTGCAGGAAGAGGGGATACTGGGCCAGTGAATGCTGTGAAATGAGCCAGCGAACAGGAAACAGGAGTCAGTCTGGAAGACCAGCTGCCACTGTGGACGTGGTCAAATGCAGCAATGCAGCACAGACAGGAAACAGCTCACTGCCCTCATTGACATCATGTCCTTTTTCAGCTATAAAAGTAGCTTCCATAGTAGTAAGTTTCATGTTGGAAGTGACTTTACCATCTTTGAGTGGTGTATAGCTGTTGGTGACCTTCTCTTATACATATATATATATATATTATATATATATATATATATACTATATACACACACAAAAGATGTTTGGTGCTACAAGACTACCCACCAATTAGTATCATGCCTAAATTGCCACACAGTATGTCACATCATGTAAGGTTTGATTAGATTTCTTGCCAAACTTTTGCTTTAAGCTAAAGGAAGGATCAGTTTGCAAGAGTGTAACGCTAAATCAGAGAGCAGAACCCTCCACAGTTAGCGGCCCACACACACTCACTCACACACCACCTCTTAGCCCCCACACACACACGAGTGGAAGGCAGTGTTAAAGAAGCGTCTTGTCAGAAGAGGGAAGCAGGTTAGCAAAGATCAAAAAAATAAACTCTGCTCTGAGCTCAGCTACAGGCCTCACACTCAGAGCACAAACACACACACACACTTTCAAAGAGCATGAGTGTAGAGAGACTACAGCATAGAAAACTGCACTGTAATACTGATAATCAATATTTTTGTGCACATATTATTTTGACTGTTACTGATCATTTGCAGCACATGCATAAAAAGCATACTTAATACTTAACAACCAAATGTTAGGCTCTTTCTGTAAGATATCTCATTAAAATCATTAAATATCATATCAACCCAAGATACTGATTAAGTCTACATGATTTTGCTCTTTTCCCAGACGTAGCCAATCAGCCAAGACATGTTTGCTTCATTAGTTTTGCCCTGGAGCTATGAAGCTAATATAGTTTCAAGTAATCAAGTATCATATCATATCAAGTAATGGTGGCTTATGATCACCAGTTAGCACCTGGCTAACTGCATGCTTAAATCATCACTTACCACAAGCACACAAGAGAACATAAGTAAGCTACCGCCAAGTTTTCAGGAGATAGATTGTTTTGCTAACAAGTAACCAAAGCTTCATCAGCATTACGCATGCAGGATAAGGTGACCAGACGTCCCCGTTTTCCAGAGACAGTCCCCGGTTTTGGTGGCCTGTCCCCAGCTGGAGCTGTCCCTGAAATGTCCCTGTTTTTAACAGTGAACTAAAAACACACAGGAAAGTCCTAAGAAAATCTGGCAGCAGAGCAGATGGGCAGATGTTTCGTGTTGTGCTTGTTTTGACCAAAAGAGGGGGCTAGCTGCTGCTATTGCTACGTTCACATCACAAGCCTCATTGCTCAAATCCAATTTTTTGCTCAAATCCGATCTCTCTGACACGATGGTTCACACTCATTTAGGTAAGTGACTCAAATCTGTCATTAATGTGAACGAACCGGCGTTCTGAAATGACCTGCATGCGCACATCCTACTCAGTAAGGCCACGTGAATGAATGGTGTGCGTCACATGCATCATCAGCAAACAGACTAACAGTCAGACTGAGCTTCACTGTGAAGATAATTAACTCTGATCAGCTCTCAGCTGTTCATTATTAGAGCGAGACGAAGGCGAAAAAGGTGAGATGTGTTTCTTTTCCACCGTTTACAGGCTTTAACTTCAGTTTGGCGCTGCTGCCATGGTAACGCTGAATGAAAAAAAGCACATGAAATGGCCACAAATCGGATACATATCCGATCTAGGACCACATATGAAAGTGACTCAGGTCGGATTTGAAAAGATCGGATTTGCGTGTCCACACAGCTCTGAAAACATCAGATCTGAGTCGCATTATGGCAAAAAATCGGATTTCAACCTGGTAATGTGAACGTAGCCTTATAAAACGGATAGTTCCGGTTCTAAACTTTGACTGGCCGAGTCGCGTTCGAAGCCATTGTAAAATACACAATATACACACGCCTATGACCCCATCACAGCAACTGAATACTGTATTACTACGCCACGGCACGTAGAATCCTTGTGTTGTTAATGGAATAATCTTTGACTCTCAAGGTGCTCGTATGGACCACTGAGAGTACTGATGAAGTAAGAAACTGTTTTTGATTAAAATGAGAACCTCATAGCTTATTTTCTTAAATAGAACTAGGCTGGCTAGCTAACTAACAGGCTAAAGACAGCAATATCACAGGCTTGAATTAAAGTGCCTGCAATACGATTCACTGTAAAATGGCAATATAAAAAATGTCACTTTATTGACCGCCGAACTGGAAATGCTCCCGGTTTTCATTTCTGAAGTCTTTTCACCTTAATGCTGGATGTCTAAATGTCCACACTCTTGCCTTTATTAGCTGTTTATCTTAAATAGACTTGCTTATGTGGTTCATGACACTTCATGACCCAATCCCAAATGTAGTCCCTAGTGTGCAATAGAAATTTTGAAATTCTAGCTTCTACAGCCAAATAGTGCCCTACTTGTTAAGTATGCATGTGGCTGCAAAAAGCAGTTGCAGCAACCATCTCAAACTCTGAATTTTATCTGTTCTTTTGTCCATTTTACATTGGCCTCATAGCCTCTGCGCAAAAAGTAAGAAATAAACTTCAGACACAAAACCTGTCTTGGCTGACTGAATGCATTTAAGGTAAGAGGAAAATTGCGTAAATTTGATTTATTTTGCTGAACAAAATTAGTAAAGTGACTAAGTAAATCTGCCACAATCTGGAAAACCAAAAATTTTTTACATGTTTTGAAACCTCAAAATATCCAACCTCCTTGCTAAAAAAAAACAGCAGTGTTTCTGTTGGTTCCTTGTGGTTTTGTAATGTGTTTTGGCTTTTCCTGATAGGTTATCACAGTGTATATGATTCTAATGGTCTATCAGGTGTTCCTGGACTGATTCCAGATTCATTTGATGGTTTCCTAATGGGATCTGTAGATGTTCTACAGGAAATTACTGGACTCTAATCGTAACCATTAAGCCAATTACCGCCAGAAAGCAAAACTATAAAGTTTTAATCCGAATGATTCTCATAGTCTTTTTTCAGCAGGACTGTAATGTTTCGTGTAGTGTTAGTGTTGCTTACCGGTATGACAGGGCACCTGCAAAGTGGTTCTCTATGTAGTTGTCCATGACGGGCTTGAAGTGCTGGAATTTACTGTCCTGCAGTAAATTGATGACGTGCACCTGCACAGCAAACCAAATGAGCTTCAGTTCATCTATCACTGCTCAGACAAGTTATTGTTCACACTCACTGCAAACAATCATGCTTATTTGTGGCCAATCCCAACAGCAGTGAATACACATTACTTCAGTTTTCAGAGATTTACTAAATAATGAAACGGCATGTCAGTAATGAGTTCTGTATGTTCAGCGGCTTATCAATAAACCAGCGGGTGGAAATGTGCTATTGTACACTATATGTCCAAAAGTATCTAGACACACCTTCTAATAATGAATTCAGCTACTATGAGGTGCACTATTGCTGACAGAGGTCTTCAGTTGTGTACACTTAGCTTGTATAATCTCCATGGAAAAACACTGACCAATAGAATGGGATGCTCTGAAGCAGCCACACATGAGCCTGAGGTCACTATGCCCAATGCCACGCGTCAGCTAGAGGGGTATAAAGCCCCCAGCATTGGGCTGTGGAGCTGTGGAACTGCATTCTCTGGAGTCATTGAGCTCCGCCCAATACCTCTGGGATGAGTTACAGTGATCAGAACTGATCATCCAACATCAGTACCTGACCTCACCAATGCTCTTGTGGCTGAATGCAATCAATTCCTCACAGCAATGTTCCAATATCTAGTGTAAAGCCTTGCCAGAAGAGGACAAATTCCCTATTAATACCCTTCACTGCAGAGGAAATGCTGGATGAGCAGATGTGTACAAGCCTTTGAATGCGTTGAATGCCTTTCAGAGCGCTGAACACACTACCTTATGATAAATTTCACTGCCATCTAAAAGTGCTTATTACTTGCAATAACGCAACTTTTCCTTCACTTCAGTGCCTGGAAATGGACTTTCTAAAACAAAGACAACCATCACGCAACCGAGGAGAAAGCTCAAGCAGTTCCGTTATGATAAGATCCCCGGTGTGAGCCAACGCAATTAAACGTATTTTGTCAGCAGCTCAGTGGCCGTATTTGGCAGGTAACTGTGGCAACACAGCAGAAGAGGGGACGAAAAAGACTAGTTATTTAAGTCTGCATTGCATAACATTCTAAAGCAGAGGATGTGAGACGGAGTACTTGTAAAGGTTCTCCGCATTCCCACTCACACAGAGAACAACACATCCCTTACCAGGCAGTCAAACACCTTTAGTCCATATCTCTGCGGACTCTCATCTAAAACAGCAAACAGGGTGTCCAGCGTGTCCTGCAAAAACTGTGAGGGGGCAGAGACAGAAACAGAGATGAAAGATACACATAATACTGTGTAAAAATTTTGAGCCACCTGTGAAAAATATGGGTATAAAATATTTATTTGCTCAGAAAAGCACACAATGTCTATAAATTACTAAAGCTGAATGTTTCCGATGGGATGGATAAGTCCTATGTGTCCTTCAGTTTCACAAAAATATGGATGGACACACAAATCCACCAATCACAGGTGAGAGACAGATGACGGACACACAAATCAACCAGTTACACACAGTGAGAGGCAGATGGCGTGTATCTCAACTTCACTTCATTGGCTCAGAACTTGTTGTGAGTGACATATGATCACATAATAAGATGGAATCAAAAGTGCAGACTCTACAGATTCAGGAAATATTTGCACCTTATTTCTGCGCTGTATTATCACAAAGATCTTAATAGAAACATTGAAAAGCATCTAATTTTATGTGCCGGCACATTCGTCGACGCCAGAGGGTTAAAGCTGAGAACAGATTTACATACAATGGTTGAGAAACATTGGCCCTCTTTCACCAAAATCTTCCTAAGTTTTTATTCAATGTGTTCTTGAGAAAAGTCCCAAGAAAAAGTCTACGTCAGATTCATGACGTGTTCTTAAACCGCAGAATTGTTCACGCCCTTGTGCTCTTGAGTGTGTGTAGATAAGATAAGAAAACATTGGTGAATGTCAGAATCTTTGTGAAAACTGCGTAAGTGGTTTTAAGAAGAAATTTCTTCTGGACTTGAGTCATATGACTTGGACTTGAGTCTGACTTGAGTGACGAATTTGATGACTTTAGACTCGACTCGAGAAAATCAAGAAGGACTTGGGACTCGACTTTGACTTCAACAGCAGTGACTCTGAAAGACTCGAGACTCAAAGTGGAAGAAATGTGGAGAGTCTGACTGCAGATGGGACTCTACACTGTCGCTTATTTTTCATGTGAATGGATTTGTTTCCTGCCATAAACTGAATAAACAGCAGCGTTGTCAGATGTCTGTCACTGTGTTTATGCTCGGATTATTTTATTTTGTAAGAGAAGTGAAGCATTTAGAGCTCAAGTTTGCCTCCATAAGCTGGAACCAAGCGAAGCATCAACAGCATCAATGCGCCCTCACTCAGCACTTACACTCTTACTGGAGAAACTCACCACGCGAACTGACCATTTTCCCCATGATAGCAAAACAAAAGAAACACAGCTCTCTCTGTCTGACCGATTTTAACAGCTTCTGCAGGTAAAACAGGTGCAACATTCACCATCAAGCTGAAGTTTTTTTTTTTCACCAGCTTCGTATTGGAATTTGCCATTCCACCTTAAATGGTGCAGCTGTTAGGTGCCAGAATGTCATTGCTACACCAATTAAAGTGGTATGGAAAATTCTAATAAGAAGCTGCTGGTGAAAAAAGTCAACTTTGCACATTCACCATCATTTAGCTTTTCTGTAAACTTTGTTGAGCTTGATCGTTTTGGTTTCTGTTGTCATTTAAATTAAATTAAAACTAGCAGTTGTTTTTAATTGGCTGACCTAGTTTTTATTGTAATCCTGTATATCCAGTGTTCTCAAAAATCATCAAAAATTATCTTCAAATATAAAGATAAATATTTAAAATTCTGTTCATGTGTAGTTGCACTACTCTTTGCGTATACTAGTATGCCTGTTATGGTTATCTGTGTACCATGGATTTTGTTTTTTAGTTGGCTGCTAACATGCCATCATTAAACGGCTATAGTACTGTTACCATTGTTCAGTGTTATGGCCTTAAACTAACGAAGAATGCATACTGATTTATATAAGACTCGAACATTAGGACTATTGACTTGAGACTTACCTTCACTGACTCAGGTCTTGAATCTCTTAAAACATAGGCTAGCAAATTACCTTAACTATCTCAGAACCATCTATGTCCTTCAGCTTGGTCAGAGAGTCCGTGATCCGGTCTGGTTGGGTTCTCCATTTCAGCAAATCCAGCATGTCACCTGCAGGTTAACATGAAACCGATATGAGCTGAAACATGATCACTATGAAAATATCTATTTTTCATTAAGGCCTTTGCTGATAGAACAGCAAATAGCATCAAAGCCCATTTATCATGTGCAGTAAAAAGCTTGCTGAGTCAGGATAAACTCTGCTCCAGCATGCATATTCTCCTCATGACGCTAAACACTGCGTAGCTGTAGTCAACCAGGATGATGTTCACCACACTGCTGCTAAAGAAGATGAAATAAAGCAATGTCACATGGACACAAAGCTCCCTGAAGAGTGAGATGACTCCCTGACTGGCTGTGTGCAGAGTTTTCTCGCAGTGTTCTGTGGCTCAGGGTGATTGGAGCGCAGCTGCTGGGCCACTCTGAGCTCTGTCTGAGTTATTGGGCTGAGCTCCAAGGTCAACAGAGGCAGGTGTGAGATCAGCATGCAGTCATCTCTCCTGCACACTCACGCACTCTTTCATGTCTGCCGCTGCATCGGCTTCACTCATACAGAGCACAGGTCCATAAATAGCTCAGAAAGGTCACAGACGAAAGGTCACGTAAGGAAGAGGATGGAGCTTCTGCGCTCTGTGTGCGTACGGTTACGCCAATTAATCGCTCAGATTTGGAGTAACAGAAGATCATTTATGAGTGTGGTAGACCTGTGATGTTCAACTGCAATGAAGTACTATTTCATTAACTGGAGCATTTTAAAGTTTTAAAATTCTGTGTTGGGATTTTATCAAAAGTGATTTCATACACAATGGAATTAGTATAATTACTGCAGAGCTCTGCTGGTGACATCCTGTATAAATAAAAATAATGCGTCGCCACGACTTAGTAAGACATGGGAACAAGATAATGAAGTTGTGGCCCTGACTTAGTAAGGCATGGGAACGAGATCCTAATGCGTGGCCACGACTTAGTAAGGTGTGGGAACGGGATCCTAATGCGTGGCCATGACTTAGTAAGGCATGGGAACGAGATCCTAATGCGTGGCCATGACTTAGTAAGGCATGGGAACGAGATCCTAATGCGTGGCCATGACTTAGTAAGGTGTGGGAAGGAGATCCCAATGCGTGGTCACGACTTAGTAAGGCATGATCTTACTTCCACACCTTACTAGGTCGTGGCCATGACTTAATTATCTCATTGCCATGCCTTACTAAGTCATAGCCACACATTAGGATCTTGTTTCCACGAGTTAATAAGGCGTGGCCATGCATTATTTTTGTTTATCTGTCACCAGCAGGGCTCCATAAATTACTGACAAAGATTAGGCATGCTCTGAATTTTTAACTACTGCTAAAAATGGTCAAAATGGGAAAAATGCTATGTTTGGTTTACCAATGAAAGAGAAAAAAAGGTTTTATAAGCCCACAGCAAAGTCTTACAGAAGCAGGAGCAAAATCTATTAACAAATCATCTGAATGATAATAAACACAAGTAAAAACATTGCTTTTTTCCAAGGACGTGTGAAGCTGGATTCATAGATTGTTGAGCTCATTTTGGACTCAAAGTGGTCAAATCTATTCAGTTTTTTCTAAAGCCCTGCTCAGCACAGACTTGTTCAAACAGTTTGAGCAGCAGTAGATAAACAGGGGAAAAAAAGAGTCATCTGCATGGAGCTCTTTCTGTGAGGTACATTAGACGAACTTCAAGGAAAATGGTTAGTAGCGTGGAGCGCTGCTGTACCGTTCTGGGTGAGTTTGGTGGAGCAGAGCAGTGAGAGGATCCAGAAAGACTCTTTGCTGTTCTTCATGGTCTGGTTGTTCCCAGGCTGCAGGCTGGCTTTAGAGAAGGGAAGCTTGAGGTAGCGAGAGCAGTCCTGCAGGTTCGCTGTTTCTTCACACTGACAGGAGCAGAAGGGAAGAGTTAATACTAACACACTCACATATATACTCTCTCTCTCTCTCTCTCTCACACACACACACACACAGAACCTTCCAGTACCTTGTGGACGATGAGCTCATGAGTTCCATCAGGCAGTGTTCTCCCATCTTCTTGCATCAGCGGAACGAAAGAGTAACCAAACAGCTTCTTCTCTCCTTTCTCCTTCGCTGTAAGAGCACACAGGAAACATCTCGCGTCAAATCTTAAAGCAGCCCTAAACATTTTTCAACACGCTCCCTGTATGCAGAAAAAAACAGAAACTCAAAACAAACGAACAGATGCCAATAGGGATGCCTTAAAGGGCCCCTTTTGCTCTACTGTATTTTTATCCTCAAAGGTCGACATATTTGTGCAGTTTTATGTACCCAAAATAGTCATAACTCATTTCTGCATGACCACTTCCCAACCTCTCTCTTTATCTTTGTACAATTAAACAGGCTGTTTTGTTACGGTAACTTTAAGACTGATATATTTAAATGAGCTCTGCTCTGATTGGCTGCCCTAAAGCAGTCTGGGCTGAAACACTGCTTATACAGGGAGATTCACTCGTAAGAGGCCCCAAATATTCTGTTGTAACTCCCGTTAGGATTAAGCAATCTGAACCAAAAAATAGTCTATACACCTTGACGTATGTGTAATCGACTGCATTACATGCGATGCTGTAAGTGATTTCCGTTTTCTGCCAGACACATGAAGGGGTACGGGGGTCTGCACCCGGAAGTTGCAAGCAGAGGTTAAACGTCGCAACGGCTGTCCGGTCCCTACCTCATCGCTCCGACGCAGGGGCATCCCAGCTTGTTCAAAGCTCCATATACTGAGGAGCACATTGCATGTTGTTTCGTTCAGATTGCTTCATCCTAGCAAGTGTTATTACAGAATATTCAGGGCCTCTTTCGAGTGAATCTCTCTGTACCTTCAGTATTGATAACCAGGGCTAAACTGCTGTAGGGCAGTTTTTCCAAGATATGAGCCCTTTAAAGCCAAAAGCAGCACTTGCAAAAAGGAAGTACAAATTTCAACGTAAGCAATGATTTCTGCTTTACTGATTGTGTTATATACTGAATGTGTTAATTAATTTAATTAGTATAAGTGGTGAGAATTCATTCTATTCAGTAGTACTGCTGCTGTATCAAATCCAAGCATTCCTAATTATGAACAGCACCACTCAGCAAAGCAGCTCTCTAATGAATCACTGAAATCTCAGTCACAGCTATCTGGGATGTTCCACTGAATATTCTGTGAGCGTTCTGATGAATCAGTCTCCACAGAGTTTCCTCCGAGTGCAGTGGGACGGCAGCACTGCGGCACAGCTCTTAATCACCATTAATAACCTCACTGACAGTGTGTGTGACGGTGGCGGAGTGTGTGTTCTTACTGGAGCAGTGTCTGAACTCGAAGCGCAGGTGTGTCACCCTGAAGAGCTCCGGAGGAACAGTGAGCTTAATCTGCTCTGACCAGCGCGGGCTGTTACTGTGATACAGAACAAACGAGTGAAACTCGTCCGCCCCCGGCTCACCTGATCCCGAGCACACCAGACCCTGAGAGAGAGAGAGAAAGAGAGAGAAATATGGCCCACAATTTCCACATTGGTGCATCCCCAGTATTTTCAATAATCGAATATGTTACAACACAACAGCTGTAGCTCTGTAGTTTGACTTAATTTACGGATAATTAATGGATACTTCATGCTGGTTATACAGTTGGCAAGTCCAAGACTTAACCTGTGAGGATTATCATTACCACCTCCTGTCATTACCATCACACAGTTGCCACATGGTGATTCCTATGGCAATTCATAACTTGATCAAAGCTATGATCAGGTCTTCAGTTCAGAACATGCACTGAAATGAAAATACTTGCCCGAAACTGAAAGTGCTTCAAAGGCAATAATCACCATGTTGGAAAAGAGAACTGACAGAACTACAGGACTAATTTAGTCTTAAACAGCTACATTAATAATATTAAATATTAAAAGTTATGGGCATAAAAACAGTTGCTCTCATCTAACAACAACAGTGTAGTAGAGGTTCAATCCACCATTTACTGCTGTACTCATGAGAGCTGAAAGTGCGGCTGCAATTCCTTAACTGAGATGCATGGAGCTGAAAGTGCGGGTCTAAAAGTGTGGGGGCCAAAGTTGCAGTACTGCGGCTCTGCAGATGGATACTACTGATTACAAGAAATTTAGCTTCTTTAGAACCCATGTGTCAAACACAAGGCCCATGGGCCACATCAGGCTCGCCACACAATCCCATCCGGCCCGCAAAAGTATTTAAATTTTCTATTAATATTAGCCCGTTTCACAATGTGCTGCACTACAGTCCCCAGCATGCACTGCAGCGTAATGTGTTCCGACTCTCCTACCCAAACAACAGTCTATGGGACAGCGATTACACCTCAATTCTACACAATTCAGTGCAATTCCACACCAGTCATATCACCAAATGCATTTCAGCTGCAGTTTAACCAGTATAAACACTTAACCTCAGCTCAGCAGCTCAGAAAACGAGCCTATGTTTTAATGAATTTGCAGCAAAGAAAGGATGTCAGGCGTCTAGTTAAAGCAAATGGTTAGGTTTAAAAGACTGAGCACCTGGGGACATTTAAATTTTGAATATTTCAAGTGTCCATGTAATCTTTCAAGGTCTACTACATATTAAAAATACTGTCTGTATTTTACTGTTGAAGTTTCTGCATATTTTGAATAAACAATGTCCAGTTTGGTTTAGAGCACAACATTAATTTGAATAAAATTTAAATAAAAACATTCTTTTTCTTTCCCACAGATTTGATTCCATTTTTTAATATGGCCCCTTTACTGGTTTAGTTTGACACCCCTGCTTTAGAGCATAGTATTGTTGCGAAGCAACCATGGACCTCTGAATGCAGAGGAGAACGTTCAGTTGACCATCGCTGTATTTTGCAGTCATTTCATGAACTTCGTGTCTTATAACAATAAACATAAGATGCAAATGCAAAAACCTTTGCTTTATAAATACTTTTTGGTCACCAAATTACCATTGTGAGCCTTATTTCGCACCAAGCTAGTGCACTCCATAGGAATTTCAATACTGGCTCATACTGCATCTCAACAATGCACAATATTGCAAAAAATAGTCATTTGGGATTCAGCCACATCCTTACTCAACAAGTAGGGCACTATTTGGCTGTAGAAGCGAGAATTTCAGAACTTTCATAGCACACTACTTAGGGAATACAGAGCCGTCTGAGATTCAGCCTGGGTTTGATGATACTTCAGACTGAAACACGGACATTTAAAGCATGTAAGACATTCAAGTGACATTCTTTTGACTTTCATATTGCTGTTTTACAGTGAATCATATAAGTACTTTAATTCAAGCCTGTGATATAAATGATGGAGTTGTTTAGGCTGTAGGTATCTTTTAGCCTGTTAGCTAGCTGACCAGCCTAGTTCAAGAAAATAAGTTGTCATCCTCTCAGTTTAAACAAAAACAAGCAGGCAAAAATTATTCCAAAAAAGCACAAGGTTTTTTCGTGACGTGGCGCAGTAATACAGAGTTCAGTTGATGTGATGTGGTCATAGGTGTGCGTATATTTTACAACAGCTTTGAACGAGGCTCAGCCAATCAGAGTTTAGGGCCGGAGCTATCTGTTTTATAACGTGCCCTTAATTGAAGAATCACCTATATTTTACTGATTGTATTCTCAGATTTAAAAAGATTCCTGTTCATGGATGTGTTTCTGGGTTTACCTTTAGTACTTGGCCATCTCCTCCCAGCAGATACACAGTGACCTCCACGTTTCTCGCCACACTCTTCCCTCCTTTCTCAAACTCGCCTCTCTCCAGCGTCACATACAGATCATTCCTCACTTCACCTGCAGTGAAAACCCACAAAGTGTTTTTCATCACTCATCGAAATGCTTTATGAAGTTATCATCATAAGCATGTGGAAAATTGTAACATTCATTTGGCACCTCTGACCCCAATAAAGTCACTCTGTCTCAAACAGCATATCTGAGCTTGCCCTTAGACTCCAAACGTCATAGGTCAGTTGAGGTGAGAAAAACACTATAAGACACCACTAATTACTCTATTAACACAAGCTGTGATACGTCCCCCATGAGCCGCCTGAGAGTGTGAAAGCCAATACGAGCATGCAAATTGGAGACAGCATCTCAATGGACAGGACAGATGTATCTCAATAGAGGACGTTCTGAATTAAATAATTTTTTAAAAAAACTTAATGACAGTATTCAGTTGTCCTTTATCAATGCTGTATAAGAAGCTTGTGAGAAGGTCGATAAATGGCCTCTAATAAACAGATAAGCTGCTCCCTTGAGTGTCTGCATCTGAAGATGAGCAAACTGTGCAGGCCACATCACTGTGAGTAATCAATACTCCATTACATTACGTACACACAAGTCTTCCACAGGGAGAGATACGCTTGTGTTACATCACAGATTGAACATGGTGTCATATGGTGTTTCATGGTGTTTCACAGCTGTTTTTAAATGCTGATGCCATTGCATCATTAACCTGTAGAAGTTGCCGTTTTCACTGGTAATAACAAGCATCCTGCAATTTTATATGAATTATTTCACACACACAGCTCATTGCAGGATTTGACCAAAAGCACAGATTATAATCTTTCAATCAATACCACATTTATAATTGTAAGTAGAAGCGAAGCAAAGGTATTTTATGGTTTAATAATTTTCAGAGCCTTATTTGGTGGAAAGAAAAAGTATCCTTTATTTTTAAATAAAATGAACGGAAATAAGTGGACAAGCAACAACTCAAATGCTTTAATACAGAATACAAATTTAATGTAAATGTAATTTATTGCGTAATTATGTATTTAATTATGTAAATAGGTCATTATCTTTAAATAGTATAATGGAATGGCAATAACTGTAGACTTCTAAAGGAAGAGCAGTTACTTGAGACTGCAGTGTCATAGAGAGTGTATTAAAATGTCTTTGGGTAGTCCATTTGACTAGCTTTATAATTTCATAAACACATAAAACCTCACTAAAGAATACAGTGGTCACATAAACTCAGGGGATTATGCTTCCAGTCACAGTAACAAAAATATATATGAAGTTAGGACAGGATAGGAGGGGACAGGATAGGACATGATGGGGCAGGACAAGATGGGGCAGGACAAAGGATAAGACATTATAAGAGGATAGGATAGGATAGGTAAAGGACAGGACACGACAGAAAAGGACAGGACATGATATTCTAGCATAGAATAGAATAGAATTGAAAAGAATAGGATATTACAGGATAGGATAGGATATGATAGGATAGGATAGGACAGGATAGGGTAGGATAGGACAAGATATTTAAGGATAGGATAGGGTAGGGTAGGAAAAGAAAGATAAAGGATAGATAGAATAGAATAGAATAGAATAGAATAGAATAAGAAAAAAGGATAGAATAGAATAGAATAGAATAGAATAGAAAAAGAAAAGGACAGAATAGGATAGGATAGGATAGGATAGGACGAGATATTTAAGGATAGGATAGGGTAGAGTAGGAAAAGAAAGAGAAAGGATAGAATAGAATAGAATAGAATAGAATAGAATAGAATAAGAAAAAAAGGATAGGATAGGATAGGACAAGATAGGACAGGATAGGACAGGATAGGATAGGATATAACAGGACAGGACAAGACATTTCAGGAAAGGAAAGGAAAGGAAAGGAAAGGAAAAGCATAGGATAAGATAGGATAGGATAGGATAGGATAGGATATGATATGATAGGACAGAACTTGACAGGACAGGAATTTCTCAATGAGAGGTTAAATGTACATTTGCTAAAAAAGGAATTGTTTGGCATGATGATGTTGAAAACATTTTTTCTGTCACCTGGCATGATGATATCAGAGAAGCCGAGTCTCCGGGTGATGGAGACGTTGCGGGTAAAGAGGCGCATGTAGTCCTTCTGGATCTGCTCCAGGTTCCCGTGTAACAGCTGCAGTGAAACGGCAAGTCCTGCAGGAAACAGCACAAACACAGCACAACTGTACTGAACAGCCACAACATAAAAACTCCAAATACCTCAAAACCTGGGTACTCTGAAGAATGCAGTAAGTGGGCCTGAGCTCGTGCAGTCACAGTCCCTAACGCTCACTGCTGCTGTGTTCTCCATTCTTAAAGATAAACAGCACAAGGATCTTTCATCTGCATTCATCATGCACACTGACAATTTTGACATTTCAGCATGAGATTTATATTCTGAAGTCTCCAATCCTTTTGAAGAAATCTCGAAAATGATTTTTTATCACAGAGTGAGGCATGATGTAGAAGGCAGTTCATCCCTTCTGCTGTCGTACAGATAAAGCCACCCATGTTATATTGCATTGCTATTACAATTTTCCATGGTTTTGAGATGTGCTCAAAATGTGTAGGTACACTTTTAGAACCAAAAGGTTTCTAATGTTTTCTGGCTGTAAAATTCAAGGAAAATATCTTTATTTTGCTATTTAATTGGTGTTTACATTATGTGGAGGTTCTTCACATCCATGGCTCCAAATAACCATTTTTGGCACCTTTATTTTTAAGAGCGTAGGTTAACAACCCATGGAAATATTATGTATCTCTGTTTGCTACTGATTCTCCACCTCCCAGCACAAAGCCTAATTATGGCCGTTTTATTTCATAACTTACAGAATGGGCTGCCCACACATGGCCACTCACCAACACAAATCCATTCATATCTCCAACATTAGTCAGACCAGTGAGCCACTCTTATGTAAGCTACTACTCGACCTCCTCCACAAAACACAACCATAGACAATGCAGCAGAACAGACCGCAAACAGAGACCTTGGGTATGTGTGCTTTGTTACGATAGATGGGGGGCAGGATGACACAATCGCCAAGTCTCAAAAGGGCAAACAACATTTGGCTAGCATGCCTTGCAAATGGTTTCTTAGGTGCAGTGAAAGAGGTCAATAAACAGGGCTTTGAACCTTGTCAGAATGATGAAAGGTTCACGTTAGCAAGATGGCAGCAAAGGTGCCCATTACAGTCGTCTCAGAGGAGAGAGATAAAGCAGAAAAGGTTAGCCATAGCCTGCGCTCACAGTACACCGCTCGATAGTCCCTTCCAGCTGCTATTGACAGCTAATGCACACATGACTAATAATTGGCGTTTAATGGACGACACTTAGAAAAGCCCCATTTAACAAAATTGAATTATGGGCGAATGAATTGCTCATTAATCAGTCGATGTAGAATTAGTCGGCTCTGGCAGACTAAGCTGAAAAGAAAACAGCCCTCGTCCTTCCCAGACTGGGTAGGCACTTCAATGATGCTATTTTTTCTCATTTATTTATCTACAGTGGAAGGGTCTGGAAAGATATATGTTTATAGTGTGGTATATATTTATCAATATTAAATAAAAAGGCTTTTACAAAAGCCGGTTCCTTACAACAACAATTGGCAAAAAAACATTTACATAATTTCCCCCTTATCCCAAATGTAGTCAATCAGCCAAGAAATGTTGGGTGCTTTGCACTGGAGCTACATGAGTACTGTAGCTAACAAGTAATGGTAGCTTACATATCACCAATTAGCATCATTTACATTTACAGCATTTGGCACATAGGTACATTTACAGCATTTACACAGGTAGGCGAGGGTGTGTTTGGAGTCTTGCTCAAGGACTCTTATTGGTATAGTGTAGGGTGCTTACCCAGGCAGGGACTGAACCCCAGTCTACAGCATAGAAGGCAAAGGTGTTATTCACTACACTACTACTATTATGCTAACTGCATGCCTAAATCATCACAAGCTCACTTTCAAACTGCTGCATGTCATGTTAAGAAATCTCAAATATTGCTTATGTGGTGATATTCTGACATTTTAACCTAATCTTATTTATAGGGTCCATTTAATATTTGTGTACTTTTATGATACTAAAAATACACATACACATTATCTAAGCCGCTTATCCTCCTGGGTTGCGGAGGGGGCTGGAGCCTTTGCCAGCAGTCACTGGGTGGAAGGCAGGAAACGCCCTGGACAGATCGCCAGCCCATCACAGGGCGGACACACAAATATATACATTCACACACATTCACACCTAGGGGCAATTTAGCATCTCCAATTAGCCTGACTTCATGTCTTTGGACTGTGTGAGGAAACCGGAGCACCTGGAGGAAACCCACACAGACATGGGGAAAACATGCAAACTCCACATGGAAAGGACCCTGGTCGCCTGGCCAGGAAATCAAACCAGGCCCTTCTTGCTGTGAGTGACAGAATTCAAAACAGACTATTTTTGCAGTTTAGTTTCCATATATGAACCGCATGGACTATGGAGTAAATGGTGCATTTTGAAACTTTGACAACATTTACATATTACTTCAAACTCCTTTATTAACAAAAAAGTGAGGGAAATTCAGTTTATCCATAATGTTGATGTATTTTGGTCCATATTTGTCCGTTTTTATTGATAACAGATTGTCATGCCATTAGATTTTTTGGCCAAATTTAAAAAATTATTTTCCCTAATGATTAACCTGTTCACACCTGGTAGTGCCTCCTATTAGGACTTTATCTGGATAGGGCTTGTCCACATAATAATGCAGGTGTAAATGGATCTTAAATTGACGTCTTAATTGACGTTGGCCATAACCTCAGTGGCTAAACTGCCGTCTTCTTAAAAAACATAGGTCGAAAGCCAGTGTGAGGAAATGAATAACGTCGTGCAAAATTGTGAAGGATACAGTAAAGGTTTAAGCCACGTACACATTGTGAAAGGCAGAAAAGGTGTTGAATAAAAGTGCTGCTCATTGTCCTTTTCACAGAGCTCATTTGGTGAAGCAGTGAGACCTACGTTCTGCAGCCTGGAAATCATCTGTAGGAGCGAGCTGGGCAGCGCTCTGTAAGAAGCTCTGCTATTTATATCATAAGAGGAAAGAAGAGAGGAATTCTGCTCCATTTGCTAGACTCTGTAAAAGCAGCCTTTCCAGAAAGTTTGGCCATTTACTCCTGAGGCATTGTTCTCCTGGCTAAATGACCACAAGCTGAAGGTGAAGCATTGAGGAAATGTAAATGTTTGAGCCGTAGATGACTGACCTGTACTGGAGCCAATCTGACTGTATCTGGAGCTGACTTTGCGGATGATGTTGTCGTGTATTTGATACCACTCGCTTTCAGTGTTGCATCTGCAAAAAAAATAAAGGACCATCCCAGACACATAAATACACATGAACCCAGACTTAGGACCACATATGACTCACTCACATATGAAGAAAGTTATGAGATTTAGCTTTTCTTTCCGGCTTCCATATGAAATAAAACAAACATTTTTAAAAAATGTTGCAATTTTACAACAAGGTCCAACTTGCCAAACATTGTAAATTGAAGACAACAACAAATAATACTTTCTGTATAAAATTAAGGCAACAATTCAGCCAAAAATCAAATGTATATATTTTCCCTTATTCCAAATAGTTAAGCTCAGTGCAAACTGCATGTTCAGCTAAAAACTAAAACTCCAATTAGGCCTATTACAAAAAAATGTAAAAAAGCTGATTTATTTACTGATTGATTACTGTGATGTAGCTGCATTCTGCTGTAGACTGACTGTAATAAGCTGTAATTAATTACATAATGACAGCAATCTTCCTTTTTTTTACAGAACAACTGAAAAGGTAATGCAGCTCAGTAACCAGCAATTTACTGTAAATTTAAATATGTAAAAAATTTGCTTAGAATTTTACAACACCTTATTATTTACCATGTTTTACACTGTATATGCACAGAATATCTCAAATATGCATTATTGTAGTGCAAATGCACATTTTTTTATAGACATTTTTACTTATAATACTATATAACTACAGCTATATACATAAAACAAACTTAACAAAACTCATATTTGGAAATATCAAATAAATAAATAAATAAATAAATAAATAAATAAATAAGTCTTTAAAACAATTAAACCTTGTTAGAAAAAAAACATTTTAAATGATTCTATTAAAATGTTTATGCCTTCTTAACTCAGTTGTGGTCATATCCAATGATGCTGTGCAGCACAGCTCAATGTCAAACTCACAGTAATTTACTGTGTTATAACAAAAAATATCTTTAGATACTTTGATTTCACAAGATGAAATGATGAATACAGTATTTTACTGTGAAAATTTTGTGTTAAATATTGTGAAATCCTAGCGGTAATTAAGAGTGTGGTCATCTTAATTGAGGGGAAACAGCACATTTTTAATCAGAAACATCAGCTCGGTATCAGTCCATACTTAAGGTTTCAGTTTTGGTATCAGAAATAAAACTAGTATTGTGCCATCTCTAATGTTCTGTACCTGCATCTGTAGTCTGTATATGTTTTATGATTTGAGCGTGCAGTTTGCACTATACTAGTAGGTAGAGTAGCTAGTCACTTTAGCCTACGTTAGCCTTGTAGCTAGAGTCCAAAACTAAAGAAGCAAACTTCAGACACCAGACATGTCTTGGCTGATCAATTACATTTCGGGTGGGTGGAAAATTGTGAAAAGTGGTTATCTAAATCATTGTATAATCCAGAGAGTAGAGCCTTTAGAGCAAAGTGTCAGACTCACGAGTAAACTTTGAGCAGGTGGTCATCCTTGCAGTCGGCCGTCAGCAGATCAGACACGCTGATCACGGTGCAGCCAAATGGACGTCTGTACTGAGTGTTAGACACACTCTTCTTCTCACCAGCGACCATTCGCCCTGACGAACACACACCAGCCAGATTCACCATGACACAACCACGAAACACGACCTGGAACTGAACTGGGCTCCAGTGTCACAAATACAGCAACAGAGCTACAGTTCTGTCCTAAAGACCAACACTGCCACCAGCTCGGCATGACACTTGACGTTACATGAGAGCTAACAGATTGTGACAGGCTGTGTCACGGTTCGTGCTCTAGTCTAGAATGCAAGCGAGCTTCCATGAGCTGGCAGCCTTATGCCGGGTTTGTGACAGAACATTGAAAGCTAAAAAATATAATGTGACACCAAATTTATAAAGCTTCAGCACATACACAGCCACATTCTGACTCACTAGCCACTTATAAACCCCTAGCCTGTAGCTCCACCATGCTAGTGTACAGCGAGGACTGTAGGCTATCTTTTGATGTGCGGGAGTGTACTCATGTTCCCAGTGTCCTATGTTTCCTCAGCTCTTTATTACCTTACCATACCTCAATTTTATATTAAGAGAACCTATGAAAGGGCTTCTACGGTTAATGTTAGGGACATGGGGCCACTAAAGGTCTGAGGCCTCAAAATATCCTCATGCAGCAACTAACAGGTTCCTAAGGGCTAGGCTAGTAATGTACTGCAGTGTTTTTAATGTTGTGAAAATCAAATAAAATAAAACATTTAAACCCTTAATCCAATTCTCTGACTATAGAACCATTTTTAGCTGAATATTTTTGGGTGGTGGACCAAGGAGAACTATTAAGGGGGGCAGCCGAGGGAAAATTTTGCCTATTGAACTATGTATTTAGCTAACCAGCTAGTAACAAGTCACAGTTAAATGTTTAATTGTTCATGTGTACCTAACAGCCATAGTTAGCTAATGTATTTATAAACCAGTCAAGGTTAACTTTTAGGCAGAGTATTTTTCAAAGCTTTGTAATCTACTTTATAAGTAGACTTTTTTGATCCAATCACCACTAAAAATATTGGTCTCTTAGCTTATGTGAGATTTGCAATGTTATCATTAAGCTAGCGGTGGTGTATATTCTCACAGCAAGCAGAAAGTTTTATTTCCACTTTTAGTGGTAGGAAAAATTTAATTGATTTGCATATATTTATGCAAAATCTTGGCTGCCCCTGGTCAAATTAAGTTTCGTTGATTTTCTAAGTGAAAGTAAGTTAACACATCCTCAGAGAAACACACTTCTGCACAATTTAATACATAATTAATGTTTTTTTGCTGAATTTAACATAAAAACCATGCAATTTGGCATGTGCAAAAGTTAGGGCACATTTCATAGTTTATATTTACTTTCTTTTCCAAACTCAGCAAATAAAGAGAAATTGTACATTATAATTTGCAGAAAAGTGGTAAGGATGAGTTAAACTTTGCATCTTTGCATGTGAATATATATATATATATATATATATATATATATATATATATATATATATATAGGTAGATAGATTTTTTTATGAAAAATAACCACATGTACATAGACACTGCTGGATGAACCAGTCTCAACCTAGCAGTGACTGATACACTTGTACTAGCACTACTCACATTATCAGGCCGCTACAATATCTGTGTCACTGACAAATTGAGAACAGTCCATCAGTCAAATAATACCCAGTCAACAGCTTGACCAAAAACTGACCAACAATGTACAAACTGATAAACTGCAAGACAACAGCTACAGATCTGTAAGTGCACACCTGTACAGTGGACCTATAAGGTAGGTGTTTCTAATAAAGTGGCCAGTGAGCTGAAGTACAATGTATTTCTAATAAAGTGAATGGTGAGTGTACGCACTACTACTCCACAAGCACTTACCAGTCCACAGTGAGATGACATAAACACATGCAATGAGCACCACACAGACAACAACAGTACTGGATGATGTTACTAATCGATGTAGGCCATGCATTCACACTAGCTACACACACTGATACAGATAAAGACAGCGTTCCGATCACACTTTACTTGAAGTGGCTTATCATTTTGCCTACGTAGTGTTACTTCATTGAACCTGCCATTATACACCTTGACAGCCATTGGAAAGCTCATCAAAATAGTTTGTACTGAACTACAAATGGTGTGCTTCGCAGAGATGGCACAGATCCAGTACCCAGTATCAGTAGCAGGCCTGATCAGATACCATAAGAAAAAATGAATGCATTCTGATTCAAATCTAGCCTGAAGTATTACTAAACTGCTTGTTGTGTAACGTGACATAAAATAAAGTAATGGGGGATTCACACTGTGTTTTTCTGGAAGTGGAAAGGTGTGTGTTTTTCTTGGGGGTTCATACTGTATTTTTTTCCGCTGCTTCTGGCTGGGCGTTTCTCTGTTGCTAAGCAACGTTAGCTGCTGTGCTACTCTGCTACTACTATCACCTAGCAAGTGTGGCGAAAACAAGCCAAAGTGAAAAAGCTGCTTTTAGTTTATGCAATGATTTTGATCTGTGAAAATAAGTTAACCTCCAACCTCTCTTTCATTACAACTGTCTCTCCTCTGATCTGATTGGTTAGTATGGAAAAACTCTCATGATGTAGTCTACCTGACCGCTTTGAGTTAAACTTTTTTTCAACTCAGGGCACTTGAAGCAAAACATGCTTTACCCAATGAAATAAGCATGTAGAGTGGGAATGCCCCCCAACCCCATCCCAAAGTTGATTACATGTTAACTTCTTATACTAAATACTAAAATTACCTTATTTAAAAATAAATATAATTCATTTATTTTAAACAGATACATTTTGCACGTCATGTTGTTGGCTATGTTGGTAGAAGAGTGTTTGAAAGTTTAAGCATGGTAAGTTTAGATTGCACTGTAAAAAATTCACTGTAAAATTACTTAATTATTCCATTATTCCATTATACTATTATATTACCTACTATGCATTATTATTGCATTACTTTTATAGTAACAGCAAATAACACTAAAATATCAATTGTTTGCTGTGATTTACTTTGATCTAGCAGTATTCTGCTGTACATTTACAGTAGTATGCTGTAAATAAAATACAGCATGTTAACTTACAGTAAACTACTGTATTTTTCACAACAGCTGTTAACATAATGCAACACACTAGCCAGTAATATACTGTAGACTGTTTACAGTATTGAAAAAATGACTTTTTTTACCAGGCTTACAAATATTTTTTTTCTGTATTTAAATAAAGCAAAAGATAAACTTTAAAAAAAACACTGTCATGAACATATTTCCATTTTGCATGGTAAGTGCAGAAAATATCCCAAGTAAATATTTTTAAATGTAATTTGTTGGGTTACTACAGAAAATATATTAAGATTAGTAGATTTCACAATAAAATGATGAATTCAGTTATTTACCATGCAAGTAAAAAGTAGTGTTAAATATTGTGACTTCCTAGCAATATAGAACAGAGTGGCCAGTGAAGGGTCTCAACAAGAAACCGTTCAATTTAACCGAATCGGTCTCCATATTAACCGACACTTCAGGTTTCAGTATTGGTATTGGAAATAAAACTGGTATCGTGCCATCTCTAACGCACTGTATACTGTCATAGCATATTATGAAAGGTTTCGTGTCGAAAGGCATTGTGATAGGTCACTTTAAGAAGAAGATCACCCATCAATCCCAGTAACTCTTACCTATTCTAAAAATATGAGCTACAACATATACATCTTTGCGGAGATCGCTACTGCCCAAATCCTTAAAGAAAGACAAATGTTTTATTCAACACGAGTCAAACAGTGAAAGCTTCCAAACATGTTACTGTATTTCAGCAAGACGATTCCTTTCTTCGTTCTTTTCTTGACCCAAACATTCAGCATTTCTGATCTCTGTGCTCATAAACAGTGCCGTACAGCAGAAAGAAATCATGGTGGCGTGACCACAGTGGTGGATCTGTTGGTGTGCAGGTCAAATCCCACAGATGCGGTTTGACCTTGGCAGTCAGACCTGCACTCCAAAATGCATCTGACACACTCAGAAAAATCAATCAAATCAAGGCTTTGAATCGCATAAAGCAAAAAAAAAAGAAAAAACACATCTCAGAATACTTATACACAACAGTGTGAGCACGTTTTCAATGGCAGACTCGCCCTGGAGACTGAGGATCAAGGACATGCCCTCCACACAACCCCAAAGAAAACATCCCAGTACTCACAACAAAGAGTGTACACTGCTTTTCTGTTTTCTCTGGTGACTTAGGAACCCCCTGCTTATTCAGCCGCACAAAGAACCTCTCACTGTAGAGAGAGAGAGAGAGAGAGAGAGAGAGAGAGAGAGAGAGAGAGAGAGAGAGAGAGAATGAGAGAGAGAGATAGAGAAACAAGGACAGCGACAGAGTCAAAATCAAAAACATTCACCATTAGTTGCTGTCAAGGTTGACACACTGCAGAGACTCTGTGTATTTCTGTGTGTGGGTTGTGTATATGTGTATATATATATATATATATATAGTAAAATTTTCATTTGCCTTGTTTTGCTGTTTTTTTCACACCCAAAGCTCACATTGCGTGGGCTAAATGAACACATGAAATACACTAGAAGCAGCATTTTAATTAGCTTTGACTTTATTTATTACATTATTTGCTCTTTAATGAGCCAAACTGGCATTTAAAACTTGTAAATGTAAAATCAATTTAAATAACATGAATCAAATAAAGTGCTACACTCAAAGAAAGAAGCTATGACTCATGTATAATTATGCTACAACATTTTCATATAAGTATAGCAGCAGCATTCAAGTACAGGGGCTTACCTGGTTCACGATACTCACAACCTAAAATTGCAATACAGATCTGCTATATATATATATGGCATATATACAGATATGTGTGTGTGTACTTACATATAGATATATATATATATATATAATGTACAACCACAGACCATGACAAAAAGTATGTGTGTGTATGTGTGAGCCGATGCACGTATTAACAAGCTCCACTGCAACACTTGATGCTCATTAATTACACAAAGCAGAGAGAGGACTGATGATCTTCTGAGGCCTAGTAACCCCCAACCAAACCCCCCCGCCCTCTGCCCTCAACACACACCCACCGTCTCTCTGCACAGCTCTGGGCTCTTGGGCATCACTTATACTGAATAATTCACCAGATTACACGCGGAGGAGTGCCTGAACATTTCACATACACCGCACACACGCTGACATCAGCGGGGGTTGGGGGGTGAGAATGTGCGTTTGTGTAACTGAGTGAAACTGAGACAGACAGAATGAGACTCGATCAATAAAATATTCCACAACTGTACAGAGGCTGCAGCCTTATCGTACAATAGCGCTCCCCTTGGACTGAGGCATTGAGTGTTTTTGGTGGGGCAGGTGCATACTGGTAAAGAAGTAAACAACAGGGTGTAAAAATGCAGTAAAGAATGAGGTGTAAAAATGCAGTAAATCAATCAAAAATCAATATATGATTTCCTAGAGAATCATAATCGAAGTAAATCACTGTGAGGTCACCTCCAGCGAAGACATGTGGATGACAGGCTGCCTTTTCAGACAAAACAAAGCACTGATGTTTTTGGAGCAGTCCACTCACGCTATTCATAATTGATAAAGTACTGTCCAGACAAAAGCATTTTTCCTGGACTTAATTCAGCTTTTGACCAGACGCTGATGCGCTGACTTCATATTTACTGAAATATTAATATGAAATGGGTCCATGAAAGCAAAATACATTTTACAGCCCTTTCAAAATAATTCACGCTCTTAACAGTGGAACTACCAATTAAATATCCTGCCTGCCAAAAGTTTGGAAACACTTTGTCTTCTTTTGAAAAGTTCAGTAACCTTTCAATAGTGCAAAAAATACCAACAGCTATTCTTAACTCACAGCAGCATTTTGCTATTCCATATATATTTGACTACAGTATATTTAGCTTCAATCCTCAGCTTCATTCATCAAAGCACCTTCTTTTTTAAGAGTAGGTTTTGGTCAAACAAGGATTTGACAGTTTTCTTCTACAAACTATTGTTAAAAGTACATAGTAAAGCTCTCGTGGCCCAAAGCTGGTTTAAACACCCGAACGTTTTGAGTGTTGACATCACAATAAGGGGATAAACCATGTCTGTTTTGGCATTATTCTCAAGGTGGTACTATCATTAATAATGTCAAAAATAATGGTGAAGCTGTATCTGATTGGTTGGTTTTGCTGGGAAATGTGGTGAAGCTGTACCTGAGTGGTTGGTTTTCCTAGGTAATGTGGTGAAGCCTTACCTGACTGGATGTTTTTGCTAGGTATTGTGGTGAGGCTGTACCTGACTGGTTGTTTTTGCTGGGTATGGTGGTGAAGCTGTACCTGATTGGTTGTTTTGGTTGGGTAATGTGGCGAAGCTGTACCTGATTGGTTGGTTTTGCTGGGTAATGTGGTGAAGTTGTACCTGATTGGTTGGTTTTGCTGGGTAATGTAGTGAAGCAGAACCTGATTGGCTGGTTTAACTCAGTGATGGGGGAAGCTACCAGATTGGTCAGTTTTGCTCTGTGATGTGGTGTAGCTGTACCTGATTGGTTATTTTTGCTGGGCATTATGGTGAAGCTGTACCTGTCTAGTTGTTTTTGCTGGTTAATGTGGTGAAGCTGTACCTGATTGGTTGTTTTGGTTGGGTAATGTGGTGAAGCTGTACCTGGCTGGTTGTTTTTGCTGGGTAATGTGGTGAAGCTGTACCTGATTGGTTGTTTTGGTTGGGTAATGTGGTGAAGCTGTACCTGGCTGGTTGTTTTTGCTGGGTAATGTGGTGAAGCTGTACCTGATTGGTTGTTTTGGTTGGGTAATGTGGTGAAGCTGTACCTGGCTGGTTGTTTTTGCTGGGTAATGTGGTGAAGCTGCACCTGATTGGTCACCTTTGCTCTATAATGTGGTCAAGCTGCACTTGATTGGTCAGCTTTGCTCTGTGATGTAGTGAAGCTGCCTCTTATTGGTCAGTTTTTGCTCAGTTACCTGGAGAAGCTGTACTACATTGGAAGGTTTTGTTCAGTGATGTGTTGAACCTGCACCTGATTGGTCGCATCTCTCTGCTGTCGTAGATGAAGAAGAAGACGTGGAGCTCCTCAGCCAGGTTGCAGTTCAGCAGGCTGTTGATTTGCAGGAAAAGGTGGTGCATGTTGGCCTGTGGAGGAAACTCTCGCTTACGGTGCCGTCGCTCCATCTGAACGAAATAAAACAAACACACAAATATTTACATTCACATACACACATAATCAAACACAAACAGATGAACACACACACACACACACACACACACACACACACATAATCGAACACATGCATATTCACTCCCACACATGCACATTGACTAATGAAAAATAATATGGAACACTATCAAAAATCAAATGGAATAATATTACTAGTATGTATAGACAGTCTATATTTTCTAAATTTTCATAGTTTTAAAATGTGATTTACATGTATCGTTTTAAAGGCACAGTAACAGAACAGAAGTGATTTATACACTGTCTTACATCAGAATCAGGCACAGTAAGAAAAACAGCCTGTGTAATTCTGAGGGATAAAGAGAGTTGCAAAACGAAAACGGTCATGTATTTGGTACAGCTGTATGCAAAAGTTTGTGCACCCCCAGTCAAACTGCTTTTGTTGATGATCTAAATGAAAATAACACATCCTCTACAGAGAACACACTTATGCACAATTAATGCACAATTATTGTTTAGTTGCTAAATTCAATATACTGGGAAAAATTAAACACAAAATATGTTATGGCACATTTATGTGTTATGTTTTTTTGTAAATAAATACAAATTGTGCACTAAAATTGACAGAAAATGCCATATTTGAGGTCACTGTGTTTATTATTTAAAAAAACTGCACAGAAAAATCAAATACAAGAAAAATGTAGGATGTGTAGCTTTTAACTATGACCGTGCCAAAATCTCTGAATGTGTTGCCATTGACTTTAAATAAGAAGGGGTTAAAGCCTTGAAGAAGATTTAAAAGATGATGTGTACTGTTCGCCATCTGTCTGTCTGGACCCATCTCTATCTGTCTGCCTGTGGCTCTCTTTGCTTAGGGACCCATTACACATACAGTGTGTGCACTGTTTTGGGACTTAAAGCAGGCTGTGCAAGGCCGTGCGGTGGTTTCTATACAGGATTACTAGAGCAGGATTTTGAATGAGTGGAATGCCGTGTGGAGTTTGCAAACAGCCAGTTAATGCACAATTTACCATCCTCTGTTATCCTTAATCACTATCATTTCCCCACGCAGAGACGACTCGAACTGTGCGTGTGTGTGTGTGTGTGTGTGTGTGTGTTAAAACAGGGAATGGAGTAACAAGGATATGAAAGAAAGCCCTGGCGTCAGGTTGGGCTGCAGTTGCCGTGGTAACACAGCGCAGCAGTGGAAGGGTGACTCATGAGTAATAGTTTTGTGTGTGTGTGTGTGTTGTGTGTGTGTGTGTGTGTGTGTAAAACCAACCAGCCGATAGAGCTCAGTGACACTGATCTCGTCTGGGTCCACCATGCTGAAGTCCTGCCTGGGGACCAGGTCCAAACCCAGCTGCCTGTTAAAAACACACATATTTAGCACACTAGACTGCATCAATTTACACAAAGAAAATATTTATCACAGAAACAGTAAAACAGACTAAAATCCATCAAATGCAGCAGAACAGAATTTCACTGCAGAGGTCATTATTAATTCATTTCCGTCAATGCTTTGACTCATAGCTAAAGATTTTATCATAAAACAGAGAAATAGTCAATGTAATAAACTTGAATGCATTCCTTTTACCTATTTACTCACTTTAAGCTGAATTCCATAGATTTCTCAATATTTCTCTTTACAGGGGTGGTGATAGGAACCAGTGTTCAAAATGTCCAGAACACAAATATAGCCATTTAATTAACTATCCAACATGAACAGTGAACATACACAGGTCTTCATATGTAATGTTAATCAGGGTGAAATAGTGGTAAATCAGAAGTACATTTTCTTTAGGGTGCATTTTGCTTTATAATGCGCTGCATACATCTCTCCACCATGAGCATATTTTACAAATAGGACATAAACCTTCTCAAAACTATTATAAAACAACATCTCAGGCTTTGGGCAGTGCATTTATAACCATTTCATGTGATTGTCTTTTGTGAGGGAGCTTTTAGTGGCATTAAACACTTCACACCTCTGGTTTCTATCACCACGACTGTGAACAGTTCTGACTCTGTAAGTTTCTCTCGAATGGAGCATTTCACATCAAACCACTCTGAATGACTTTGTTTACCTCTCAACCATTTAATGATTCTGAAACTTTGCAAAAATAGCAGAATTCCCTTTTAACATGCATAACAATCCTTAAGAGCTTTGTGGATATTGTTGCTGTTGTGCAAAAACTATGTATCTCCATTTTTGTTGATTTTAGCTTTTTTTGCATTATTTGAAAATTCCAGTTCCCTTTTGCGCGTTGGTCATGATGAACAGACCAACATATCAAGAGAAATGCTTTAAAATTACCTGGAAAAAATCATTTTATTACATTAACTTCTAAGTAAAGATGTTTTTTGTTCTTTTCCTGTAGAGTTACTGTTTTGGAGGTAGGAGGTTTTGTCCCAACAATATGGCCTTTATTACCACTGCACGCGAAATGTCGATATAAGAAAGAGAAGTAATGGATTAACACTGAAACCTAGTTGTGAACAGCCACTAAAATCTAATATAAGTCTCTTGGGCATTAAAAGTAATTGCTGCTAGTATTGCTTCTCCCTTAAAACCATTTAAAAGTTACACTTTTGCCAGGCTGGTTGCAGAAAAGTTCAGCCTTATGACCTTGATGACCCCAGTGATGTGTTTGCATGGGGCCTCACATTAACATTAGCTGACAATAGCTATAAATAGCATTGTAGGACATAACTGAATTCCCTTAATAAACAAACATTAATATAAAATGAAGTAAAAATACTTATTGTTAGACTAAATGAAAAGCATTCAAGAACTATATTCTTAAAAAAGATAATATTTTATATTTGACCAGCTAGTGTACCCATTACTTCAGACTGCTCTCCATCGCTGTATGAAAACACTACGTTTCAGCTGTAATTATGCTGATGTTAATGGATTTTTTCTGAGGTGCATTTTTCAGGACTCACTCATTGCCCCAGTCCAGCCGTGCTATGATGTGCTGTTTGATGTCAGTCATGCGGTCATTGGTCAAGTGACCCACGAGAACCTGCCGTCTGAGCTCCAGGATCTCCGTCATCACATGCCAGAGCCTGTGGAACAGTTCCCCCTCGTTCTTCTGCAGAGGAGAGAGTGCAAACTAAAACTGTACCTATGTGCACTGTGAGGAGCTTTACCAGGCACGGGTTCTACACCAATACGAAGAGTCACCACTGAAGGTGTTACAGATGTAGATATAATATGGTATATTTATTATTCAGTAAATAAAACAAATCACTCAGTGAGGACTATTTACTCATCGCGCCCAATTAGCTTCACATTTTAGTGTTAAATATCACAGTAATTAGACAGTGTTATTGAAAGGGCCCATATCACAGAATACCAAAATTTACTCACCACTGTGAATTAAAAACATTTGATGTAGCATGTAAACAGTATTTCAAAACATACACACTTAATATGATGGTTCATGGGTTCTTCTATTGTAAAAAGTTTGACACTGTAACAATAGAAGAACCATTTTTTGGTGCTATATAGAACCCTTTTCAAAAACGTTCTATATAGAACCATCTACAGCACATTCTCCATCAATCTAAAGAACACTTTCACTACGTATAGAACACTTTAATCATGCAAAGGGTTCTTTGAGTGTTCATGGTTCTATATAGAACCATTTTCTTTACTAAAGAACCCTTGAAGAACCATCATTTTTAAGTGTGTACAGTTCACTCCTTAGTCCATGCTGTCCATATAGGGAAACTAAGTTGTAAAAACAGCCTGATTTGAAATCATGATTGTTGCGATGTCACATATAGCAATGCTTTTACAAACAGCAGGATCTAAAATTCTGAGACCACTTTGAAAATCTGGGATTTTTTTCACTTAAACTTGGAGATAAACGTCATAACATTTTAGAATTCTGAAAAATGTAAAACAAAGAGAGGTTATGAATGAAAAAAGAAGAAACATTCAAGATTCTGCTCTATTTCTAGGCCACTATTCAAAACTGCACAAATTTGTGACTGGCCATGTGACAAAAAGGTCACATTTCTTTTAGTGTTATCTCTTCTACTGGAGCTTGTGTTCAGACGACTCTCAGATGAATTTGATCTATTCATCAGAGGCTTTTGCACATGTGGAGTCCATGCCAGCTTGAGCGCATGCTGTCATTAAAGCGAAAAGAAGACCATCAAATACTAAGAAAGCCTGAAATTCATGTTCACGTTTCAAAGATTTCCAATTTTCGCTCAATTGTTTTACTGTCAATGTAATTTGTGATAAAATCTCTCTATTTAATTAGAAAGGAACGCAAAATAGAAGCATTTTCACCAGCAGTCTCAGACTTTTGGACCTCACTGTATATCCACCTATTCAGCCTACAGCCGTTTAGTACGGAGCCCTGCTGGTGACATCCCATATAAATAAAAATAATGTGTGGCCACATCTTTTTAACACGGGGGGACGAGATCCTAATGTGTGGCTACAACTTAGTAAGGAGTGGGAATGAGATAATGTCTTACTAAGTCGTGGCCACGCATTAGGATCTTGTTTCCACGCCTTACTAAGTCGTGGATACGCATTAGGATCTCGTTCCCATGCTTTACTAAGTCATGGCCACGTATTAGGGTCTCGTTCCCACGCCTTACTAAGCTGTGGATACGCATTAGGATCTTGTTCCCATGCTTTACTAAGTCATGGCCACGCATTATTTTTATTTATACAATATGTCAGCAGGAATTCTTAGTTTAGAACACTTCACCCTGAAGTAAAGCAAGTGCTTCAGCCTAGGCTGCTTTTCGAATGCAGGGCAGCCAATCAGGACAGAGCTTATTTACATATCATCAGTCTTATAGGCACAGTAACAAAAACAGCCTGTTTAATCTGAGGGGTAAAGAGAGGTTGGAAAATGATCATGCAAAAAACGTTGTTGCTCCAATTTCTCTATTTTTTGTTTAACGCAATATAAAAACACCAGCTGCCCTTTAAGTTTCAGGGATTTCATGAGAAACAGATAAAAATGATCCAAAATTACTTTATATAATTACTATTTTTTCCGTTATGTTTAGAACGATAAGCTACATTTTAGAGATGGTTTTCTGATGACAATAATGAGATATTTAGACTTTGCCAGTCGCCCAGCATACACCATAACACAGTGTCTCCAAGTGTCACAACAGCACAGCCATGTTTACCACATAGAGCTGCTTCCACATGGTGCCCCAGTCTCGCAGAGTCACCGTCATCTCTGTAATAACCGACTCCTCCATGGGGATGACTGTCTCAAACTGCCTGCGGGTCAAATACACACACGTTACGCAACCATGTTTATACCAAGTCATGACCACCTCCTTAGTCACAGAAACATCAGAACAGTCAGGCAGAGGTCAGATAGCTGACTGTACCAAGACATGACAGGTTCATCACTCAGATTCAACAGTACAGTTGTTTACATCCCCTATTATCAGATCCACTTAGCAGGATGAAAATGAGCCTCATCAAACAATTACACCACCATAACCTCTGCATTTCCATATTTATATAACAGTGTGTCATACAGCATCAGAAACCACAAGCAAGTCTTTTTGAGGTTACTTAAAGTTTAAGGTAAGTGTGTGATGGTTTAGGTGGGTAGTTTGCATGGTGCTAAGCCGTACATAAGCTTCCATTTATTGTTAGCTACATTAGCCTCACAGTCTTGGCAGACTGATAACATGTAAACCCCCTTACAATTCTAGGCTTATTACATACCAAGGCTCATTATACAGTAACTACAAGGACTTCAATGCAAACTGGCTGAGCTATTCTTAGGTGTAGAAGTGTGTATTAAAACGTTGGGGCCGCCGGTGGGCCCTGACCATGTAAGGGGTTAAAGTAAGCAGGAAATTGTGTACATTTAATTTAAGGCCAAACTATCACTTTAATGTTTGCTTGCAGATGCTCTTTAACTGCATCCAATTCACTCATGTTGGAGGGGAAACGGAAGCATTTGAGCTGAAGAATCAGGAGCTGGACACCCAGCAGTGACTGGGACATGCTGTGCTCAGCACTCAGGAGAGAGAAGAGGATCTTACCCTTTGTTCTTAATGTGTGCATGTTTCAAATGGATGTAGCTGCATGGGAATATTCCCTGGAAAAAGACACCACAGAGCACTTAATCAGGACTATAAAACATTTTTATACAGCAAAGTTCAAAAGTTTGGAATCACTTCATACTAATACTAATAACTGCTATTTATTATGCAATAATAATTCCTGAAATACTATCAGTTAGACACAAGAAGCTTCTATAAAGGGCCCATATTCTACCATTTTCTTGTATTTTATTTTTTCCCTTGAGGTCTACTTATGATATATATGCAATTTTGTGTACAAAAATGGTCATAATTCATTTCAACATGACCATTTTCCAACCTCTCTTTACCTCTTATAATTAAACAGGCTATTCTTGTTGCTGTGCCTTTTAGACAGATATATGTAAATGAGCCCTGCTCTGATTGGCTGCCCTATATTGTGTCTCATCCAAAAAGCAGTCAGAGCTGAAATTCTCCTTATAACTTCCGTCTGAATGGGTGGGGAACAGTGTGGTTTGAAACTTTAATTTTTACAAATTACAACAAACTCCTTTATTTAAAAAAAGTGAGAGAAATTCAGTTTTCCATGGCGTGATCCTTTTAAATATGTTTTATTCAAGTTTTGAAAGAAACAGCAAGAAAAATTATAATATTGTAATTATCCATTTACGGTAATTCCTGGATAGGTCGACTCTCTTGAGATTTGATCCCATTCAAAATATGAAGCATTCTGGATGTTAATTTCATTATTTTATGTTACTGTTTATTTTAACTTTATTTTAACTTCATTCTCAATGTTACACAGCTTACTCAGTCATCAGGGAATATCTTAAAGTATCTTTTTACAGCTTCCAACAGTGATTCCAAACTTTAGAACAGGTAGTGGATGCTATGTAAACATGTTAACATACAACGTATCACTGAATTATACGGAGCTCTGGTGGTGAAATCCCATATAAATAAAAATAAAGTGTGGGAATGAGATAATTAAGTCGTGGCCACCACTTAGTAAGGCATGGGAATGAGATCATGCCTTACTAAGTGGTGGCCACCCATTAGGATCTCATTCAAACGCCTTACTTAGTCATGGTCACGACTTAATTATCTTGTTTCCCATGCCTTACTAAGTCATGGCCACACATTATTTTTATATATATGGGATGTCACCAGCGGGGCTCTGTAGAATTCCTAATGAACAGGACGTTTAAATCTACTCAGACTAGAAAAAGACAGGCTGTTATTTTTCAGCAGTCCAGATTTATAGCACTCTTCTACTACTTTCATTATTGCCGTTTGTTTGTGTAATGAATTCTTTGCACGCTTCACCAATACAAGGTGAGAAATTAAACAAAAAGAAGTCAATAAATCAATCAACAGTTCTGCATTTTTCTCTGAACAGATACAACTTACCTTGACATTTGGATTCTTCAGTACGAATCCTCTGTACCATCCTGAAAGGACAAACGATGACATTTCAGAAAATCCTCAGCTCAGTTTGGACAGACAGAAATCATTACAGTTGGTGTGTGGAGCAGAAAACGCTTAATCAGTTTTTGGATCTTTCACTGGAAAAGATTATAAATGCACAGGATAATGCACAGTAATGTAATATGCTCTGCTTTTGTGGGGCACTAAAATTTTTTTGCATGATACAGAATATTAATTCGCATTAAAAAAGATGTTAAGCTTCTCCTTATTGAAAAGGCGCCTGTGGGGTATCATATGACTCACATCATATTCAGCTCAATACTGAAAAAGACTGTATCAGTCCGTTCAACTAGTATCTACTGTACAGCAGTCTAGCAGCAAATATAAAAAACAAACCTATTCAGGTAGTTGTATCTGAGTTTAATTAATTATAAAGTTAACCTTGGAGCCTTTTACTATACAGAATCAGGGATTGAAGCCTTTATAGTCCCAGCAAAAGGCTGCTGCAAATGTCAGGATTTAACACAGCAACAAAACAGAGGTAGAAATGGCAACATATAAAGGTTAGGGGTGGGCGATATAAAATGACATTTTCCAATCTCCAGACAATAACGATGTGACACAATGATATACCAAAAATTATTACTGTTATTTTCTTTTTTGTTGTTTTTCTATGTCATGTTGATAATGATAAAATAGTGGTAAATGTGTTTTTCAGTATTACTTAGTCCAAAGATAATTTTCTTTGGGAACTACTGTGCCTTACAGCACCCTGCATGTACCTCTCCACTATTAATGGCTTTCAAAAAATTAATTTTAGGCCAAAACCTTCTTTCAGAAACACTGTAAAACAATGGATTTGGCATTACGCACCATATCTGTAACCATTTCATGTAACAACTTTCTGTGAGGGAGATTTTCAGAGGCATTAATCTCTTAAAATCCCAGGCATATTACATAATAAGGATTAGTATTCAGTAACAACAGAGACTTCAATGCAAATTGATTGAGCTTTTTGTAGGTTATAGAAGTGTGCAATAAAACACTGAGCCTTTTAAGGGGTTAGACATTTGGTTCCTGTCACCCCCACTGTGAATAATTCTGACCAGGTCAGTTTTTCCAATAACAGAGACTTCACATCAAACCACTTTGAATGACTTTGTTTACATTTTATTTGATTACTTTCTTATGCAGAAAATGTAAAACATCTATGGAACTCCCATTTAAATCAGTAACTGTAATGTGATTACAAGACTTTAAACTGCAATGTGTTACACTAAAAAGTAACTACATTCCTGTGACATACTGATTTGTAATTGTCTTTAATACAGGTGCACAATATGGAGCATGATTTGTTCCTAAACTCAGTGCTAGTAATAGCACAGCTGTGGAGTTTCAGTAATTCCTCTGTGGGGTTCCACACATTTCTCTCTAATTACCTTCACACTTCTCCAAAATCTGGACCGTCTCTCCGATCTCCAGGGGCAGCCCATGCTGAACTGTTCCACGAAAGTTTGCCAGCACTGAAACAGCAAAAAGAGGTTTATTAATAATAGTGCAACCTTTGTAGATCCTGCAGCAGCAACTGTGTTACAGATTAGGCCAAACCTCAGCCTGAATGACTTTAATCATATTTTAAGGGTTGTAGATATAAAACATAGCATCATAATGCTTAAAGGCATTTTCACAACGCACAAGATATATCATATTTATTGGACTTTAATTGGAGTGGACAAAATAACCACAATGGCCAGAAGCCTAGTGGTAGGAGAGGTGAGCCAGCAACTGGAAGGTTGTGAGTTTCATGTCAGGACTTACTGGGTGGTAGCAAAATGACAAATCCCCCTTGTAGGACCAACAAAGTATAACATAACATAAAACAAAATGCACAAATGAACAGCAGTTCAAATTAAATAAAAGAAATAATAATAATGGCATAACGTAAGACATCCAATCAGGTATTGGCTACTATGCAGTTGCTACACACAGGTTGCTGTTGTTTACAGGCTCCTCATAATGTATACATTAGGTATGCACCGATATGGGAAATATCGGCTGATGCCGATATCTGATATTTTCATGCACATATCTGCTGATGCCAATAAATAAACATCTACGAAATGTAGAAATTGGGACTAGATCTACTTGGATTAGCAGTAAAGTGAGATGTAATGTTTATTTCTTTATAAACAGGGTTACAAATACAGCAAAATGAATAAAATACAGATATTTGAGGAGTAACCCTGTGTCGCTCAAACATTCTGCTCTGTTATCAGTTAGAAATATTGATCAAATCTAAACATCTGTCTGATGCCGATATAGTTTTTTAAAGCAATTACCTGCCAATGTATGATGCTCATTTCATAATGCTTTCCTACTAAATATGTCTTTTTCATTATACATGCAGCTGTTTAGTATTCTAGAAGCACTGATGATACCAATGATTTACTCAGAAACAACATACTGGGATGTCATTTATCACAGTAGTTTTAATATACTGCCATATTACCCACCCTCACTAAGGAAGGCTGCATAAATTACATAAGCCAGCACTTCCAATGTTCGGGTCTTTATTTTCATTTCTTGTGTAGATCTGAGTGTCGCTCTGCATTCCTAAATAAGGCATTAGTCACATTCAGGTTACGTAACTCACACAAGAGCTTCACACAGTACAGGACCACGGCCAGCAACGCTACCAAACCACATGCTCAGAAAACTCTCCCCGCATTTCCATACTTAATCACGGCTCTATCACAGAACCCAATGCGTTCTCTCCCAAAACCTCATCTGCATATCAGGTGAGGTGTTAAGAGCTGCTATGACAGCACACATTAATATGGAACAGCCCCAAAAATGCTGCAGAAATGCATAAGACTTCTGACACCTCCTACCAGCAGGAGGACTTTTAAATAGCAATGTCAGCTTTCGGAGGAAAAAAGGCAGGCGAATCTGCTTTGCAATGCTTGCTGCCTGTCAGCATTTTTCTCTAATACATACAGAAGCAGAGGAACAAATTTGTGGCACTAAATCTACAGCAAACCAGCCCATACTGCACATCACAGGCCTTATTTCAGTGCTGCAGTGAACAACTATATAACCAAATTTCCAAATAATGCCATCACAAAAAAACAGTTTGTCATATTAAGTCTATTGGCTGGTCAGTGGATTCAGACTGTGACTAGTGTTATTCTCAATAAAGCTCTTTCTGTATCTGTAGGTATAAGACTCTTTCAGGAGTATCTTGACACTTGACTAGGCTAAATGACCTTCTAATAATACATATTTAAAAAAAAATATATACACATGCGCACACACACACACAAATGCATATATATATATATATATATATATATATATGTATATATATATATATATATATATATATATATGTATATCAGGCATAACATTATGACCACCTCCTTGTTTCTACACTCATTGTCCATTTTATCAGCTCCACTTACTATATAGGTGCACTTTGTAGTTCTACAGTTACAGACTGTAGTCCATCTGTTTCTCTGCATACTCTGTTACCTCCCTTTTACCCTGTCCTTCAGTGGTCAGGACTCCCATGGACCCTCACAGAGCAGGTACTATTTGGGTGGTGGATCATTCTCAGCACTGCTGTAACACTGACGTGGTGGTGGTGTGTTAGTGTATGTGGTGGTGGTGTGTTAGTGTATGTTGTGCTGGTATTAATAGGGAATTAATTAGTTGCTGTAGCGACAACCTCTGCTCTTCTGGGAAGACTTTACACTAGATGTTGGAACATTGCTATTAGGATTTGATTGCAGCCAGAAAGGCATTAGTGAAGTCAGACACTGATGTTGGATAATCAGTTCTGGAACGCCACTCACGCTAATACCAAAGATATAGCAGTGTCAAAGCTCCACAGCCCAATGCTGGGGGGCTTTATACCCTTTGAGCCAATATAAATCTGGACAGCTAGCTGGCTGGCATGCTCTTGTGTATTCTTGATAATAAACACAACTGAGAGCCCGCTAGCTAGCCAGCCATAAAGAGCAGTAGGAAACTTCTTTGCACCTGGATTTAAAACTGATTCTGTTGCCTGGAATCGTGAGTCTTGGTGTTAAGAGCTGGCAGCTGCGTGCTGCTGCTTTCGAATATTTTAATTATCACGTTTATTAAATATTAGCAAACATTTGTTGCAGGCCTAGTTTGTAGTGCTGTGCTCTTTCTGTAGGGTATTACATGGGAAAAGCCTCTAGTGTTTTTGCTGATAACTGTGCCTTACACTGATCACTTTTCTGACTTTTCTGAGTTCTTACAGCTTTCAGGAGCGTTGGGAAGGGGAAATCAGGTGGATCTGATTAGAGCTGCAATAAAACTTAGCAGGAGCTAAACTCAACAATCAATTACACATTGTTTATCTTGGGTCTATTGTGATACTGACTGGCTGAATGCTGTTTTTATTCATTATTTATTTTGCCCAGTGTGTTATGTAGCATGATCTGTACTTGACTTTTCACTGTGTTGCTGCTCTGCTCTGTTTGCCACATTGTGGTTGTAGCTATATAAATATCATAGGTCACACGATGGAAAATAACACACAACATTTCATCTCAGATGGCCTTTTTTCACTCACACACACACACACACACTCACACACACACACACACACACATTTTCTAAGCCACTTATCCTTCTAGGTCGCAGGGGGAGCTGGAGCCTATCCCAGCGGGCACTGGGCGAAAGGCAGGAAACAACCTGGACAGGTCACCAGTCCATCGCAGGGCAGACAGACAGACATATACGGTCTTTTTTCAGAGACTGTTTAATCAAATGTTTAATCACTGTTATTTAATAGATTTCAACATACTGGCACCTCATTGGCCATCACAGGTATGAAGAACAGCGCACTCCATTAGGCCTGAGAGAGATCTAAAAATAATTAGCACAGTATGCACCAGTGGTCTCCCATCCTGGTCCTGCAGAGCTACCTTCCTGCAGAGCTTAATTTCAACCACAGTTTGCCACACCTGCTCCAGTTAATCAACCTCTTCTCAAGTCCCTGATTGGCTGGATCAGATGCATAAGAATTACGAAAAGTGCAGGGCAGCATATTGGATACAAGTTGGAAAAAACTCTGCAAGAATGTAGCTCTCCAGGATCACGGCTGGAGACCACTATTATAGACACATGGTTGGCTGCATATGCTATATGTTTTTAATGGATTTTAAGAAGATTTATCAACACTAAATAACATTTTTTTCCAAAAACTCTCATTTTTAAAGTTGCTACTGTTAAAACATGCATTTGTGAGCTTCTGCTGGTGTGAGTCCATGACGACTTGCATGCTAACAGTGCCCAGACTGCAACACATGCTCTAAATGAGTGAGATCCAAATCCATGTCCACATGCTTTACATATTAAAATAACAAGGTGTTTTCCATCGTTGTAGCAGAGTCACTCCGAAATTCAGCTGTATGTATGTATCACTCTGGGAAACCTCCAAAAGACACAGCGGGGAATGTACTCCACCATAGCCTACCATCTACCATCTTATTAATCCATCTGATAATCCATCATTTTAAGAGTAAAAGGGAATAAAACTCTACATTAACATATAACTTACAATTATCTTGCAAGCTGTTTACAATTAAATCAGTCCTCTTAAGTTATCTATCAGTTCTCTTACCCAACACAGTGATTATCTTTCAAGCATCGTCATCAGCTTACTTAATGCCTAAATACATCGTCCTATTTACACTCCATTATGCTTTAGGCCTAGTTCCACAGCCACAAGCTAACAACAGTCCTGCTTAAAACAGGCACTGTTGAGTTTGGAAGGACAATCGCATTAGGGTGTGTATCAGTGCTAAACACTTTCTCTCACTCCTGCTGATCATGCTGTGGACACACACTGCTGCCTGGCTCAGATGCTGGACGGCCTGCTGTCCGTCTCGCACGAGCCAGCAGGTGCAGACAGCTCCGAAACCGTTCCTGTAACACTGCTGTCGCTGCCTTCACATCTGCAAACCCATGGCAGATCCTCTCTTAAAGATAAAGTTTCCAAAAAGGGTTTGCTGGAGTGATGCCTTAGCAGAACCCCCTCTGGTTCCCTCAAGAATCTTTAAATAGATGGTTCTTTAAATGAACACTCCTGCGTTTTGCAACATTACTTACTCTATCTGCATTGTCTTCAATTATAAGTGTGTTGAGAGTTAACAGGTTTGATCCTTAACTGGCAGCTGGCAGCAGGAAGTAGCAGCCAGTGGCAGCTGCTGGTCAGTCAATGGTGGCTGCCAGTCAGGAGTGGCAGCTGTAGTCAGTCATTGGAAGCTGCCAAGCCAAGTGCAGCTGCCAGTCGCATTCTTGTTGTATGTGAAGAGGACGCCAGAAACAGTCATTAAGAAAAGTTGCCAACTCAATTTAGCCAGCCAGCTAGCAGTGGGTCCTACTAGCATTCATTACGTGGTGACAGTTAACATTAACTGGCTACCATTACCGTTTTTCCACCATATTTACCATCATTTCAAAGAAACTGCTTCTGCACTCTGTTCAA